GAGACCACTTTCCAAAACAGTTTTTGGAATATGTCGCCACGTCGCCATGTCCAAACTTATATGACCAGGTGTCCTGGCAAGGCTCAATCCCAACACCCCCAGAGATACGTTTGGGATTCCACTGTGTCGAAGGAAATAAAAAAAATGCTATCATTTTATAGCATCATTGACCTACCAATGATAATATCCAATTGATATCAGTGATATCCAACAGATATCATTTTGTCATGCGGATTTTGTCGATGGATATCATTGACCTACCAATTGCTTTAGCAACACTGATCCGCTTGATGATTTTAATGGTAAATCATGGTAAATCATCCAGTTGTTTATTGGATCCCCAACAAACATATCCGAAATGTCTATCCCAAATTTCCAGATATGTTTGCTGGGGATCCAATAAACTGACAATCCAAGTATATCCAGATATAGGATAACCATCTGTTGACCATCACCGCCATAAACCACGTTGGAAGCCCATACCTTGGAGGACTGGGCCGTGTCCAACAGAAGAAGACCCACTCTGCGACGCTTGCAGCTGCCAAGGGCTGTCTGTGCCTATGGATGGACACAACTGGACCCTCCCTTGCTAAAGTACCCTCTGGTTAATTTAACATAGCTATGGAAATTGGCCATTTATAGATGGTTTACCTATTAATAGCATGGTGATTTTCCATGGCTATGTTAGTTTACCAGAGGGTAGTCTAGGCTCATTTTGACCGTATCTCATATGTATACATAATTTGTACAGCGGAAAAACTTGAGGTATCCGGCAGATTTTACGTGCAACATCATGACTCGTCCATTTCCCACCGGCGAATCATGGAGAATCTGGATGTTCCACCAAAAGGTGCTAACAGCTGAGGCAGATTGGATACGGTGAAGAACTTCTCTATTATGGGATACCATCTGGTTATGACTAACATAGCCATGGAAAATCACCATTTTTAATCGGTAAACCATCTATAAATGGGCCATTTTCCATGGCTATGTTAAATTAACCAGAGGATCAATCATTGCACAACTTAATGTGGGATTCACCCAATGCCATTTGCACAACTACTGTACCATTTGGGAACATATCACTTATATCACCTATGAACATGGTGATTTGGGGATGGTTTATGGCGGTGAATCCCACAATTTCACCTGAAGAAAGGATTCCCTGTGGGATAGTTACCCCAATCCAATTGGGTTTGTCTGAAAATAGGGTATATTCCCAATGAAATAGCCATTTAATAGGGATAATGATCATTAACCATTGGGTTTAGGGGTACACTATTTTGAGACACACCCAATTCTCATCATCATTGTTACAAATTCACTAAAATTTGGCCGATGGGAATACAATAGCTTTGGTGAATTAGAGTGATTGGCCACACAATAATCAATAATTGGCACATGCTGCTTTTGGTAAAAACAAGTTATAGTAATACAACAAAACATGAGCTATACCACAACTTTCAAAAGTCTTGAGTATCCTAACATATCCTAACCCACAAACTATAGGTATCTATAGGTACTATACCAATTAGCTATACCAAAAAACAATGTTTTGGATACCAATGTCTTCCGACCCACCTGGGGGGCTGATGGAAATCCTTCCGCTTCAGGTCGAAGGCCTGGTATGGAGTTTTTTCTTGCGGGGAAAAGCCTCCAACGTCAATGGGAAACAATTCCACCATCAATTCGTGTTTTTTCATGGGAAAACACACATATCTATATCTATATTATATCTATATATAAATGAGTCCAGTAAATTTTAAATTGATGCTTTGGTTGCGGAAACACATGAATGGGGGATTTTCTATTGCCATGTTTGATTGCCAGAGGATATCTGCAGATAGTTCATCCAAGAAGTTCATACAATCATCCAGATAATCAATCAATGGCCATTCCAGGATCCTAAATTGGAGGTACCTACCATGTATAAGGTCTATTTTTCAGGCCCATGTAAGGGAATATTCCCAGAAAATATGGCCTGAAAAATGGTACTAACGTACCTCCATTGTAGGATCAGTTTCAATCATTCTATAACTATCATGTGGTTGCTGCTTTATGATGATTTTCATATCTTCTACTGTCATCAAACAGAACAATTTCTCGATCAAATATTTAGCCATGGAAACCATGGGTTTTCTATGGAAAAACATCTACTCAGGGGGTTTTCTTGTCCATGTCTCTGTGAAGTCCCCTCTGGGGAAAAACCTGATGTGCTAATAAAGATTTCCATCCCCCTATCTGCATATATTATATTATTACATATATAATATATATTATATACTACATATAATATATATATTGTATATTACATAATATATATATATATTATATTACATATAATATATTATATATATATATTACATATATATGTATTATATCAAATATCATATATCATATATTATATATTATATATTATATATCATGTTATCTTATATATTATATGTTATATATATATATTACAAATTATATATTATATATATATTATATAATATATATATATTATTATATATTATATATATTATATATATTATATATATTATATATATTATATATATTATATATTATATATATTATATATTTTATATATATTATGTATATTATATATTATATATATATTATATATATATATATTATATATTATATATTATTTAATATATATTATTTAATATATAGGTAATATATATTATATATATTAGATATATTATATATATATATTCTAATCAAACAACCCAAAATTGAATCACTGGTGAATCATAGCATGTATTGGATTCTTTTAGGCTCCCAACTTGGAATCATGGCATTGGACATGCAGAAGTGCTGGCCCGAAGCCGGTCCACCGAGCCCTACTCTGTAGGGTATCGGTCAACACATTTTCCTTTACACATGCCTTTATGATCCTCCAACCCTGGATTTGAATCGACAGATATATAATAATATATACATATATATATATGTATTTGTATATGTGTATATATCTAAATATATAAATAGATAGATATAGATATAGATATATTTACCCTGCAAAACGAGTTCATTTACTACATGACCAGACTACATTCGTCCTTCAAAACGGGAGAGGACTGCCTTTACCGTCTTTACCCGGAAAATATCAGAAAATGGCATAGATGAACATCCCAACGTGTGTCTCCTCCTTCTTTCTGGGGATATTGGCCAGGAAATTGCTATGAAATCATCAGATAGAGCCGAAAAAATGGCCATATTGGATAGCAGTCACCGTCCAATCTGTTGATAAAACGTTGCAAAAAATACGGGGCGTGAAGCCAGAGAAGCAAAAATCCAAAAAAAAACCGTGCCTCCCAGCAGCAATGCTTTCACCACCTAAGTCTCTGTTTCCCCGAGTTTTCCCTGCTTTTTCTGGGTGGATTCACCAACGCCATTCCTCCCGGAGATTGGACACGATCAACTATCTTTGAAAGTGCCGATGCTTACAAGTCACCCATGAAAAATCACCACCTGACCTGGCATGGCAAAAGAACATCCGCCTTTTACTAACACGCCTGTCCATTTAAATGCTCACCATTGCCATGTTGGATCACCTTAGTTTAGGAAACGAATTCCGACCAAACCACTCTGGGCCACAGATTCGTGTATAGCTCACCAATTTTCAATGGCTCTACTAAATTGGTCGTTTTTACCTATATATATATAAATATATATATAGTCCTTCCTTTTTGTTGGCTTGTGAACCCCCACATGAGCACACTTCTGATTGCTTCAAGTCTTTGCCCCCCGATACACCTTAAGCCTTCACTCTCTTTTTACGTCCCAAAAACTTTTTCCGTGTCAACGCCCAACCTTGGATTGTCTGTCCAGATTACCCTGGTCCTGGGCTCCCCCCATTAAGCCGTCAGGGTACAGTGCCTTTGGCCAACGTGCCAGAAGCTTTGGGGATCTCCAGCAAGCAGTTGGTCTGTTCGATGTCGTTGGCGAAGGTCGGAGTTCATCCCGTTGTTTTTAGAGGGAAAATCGTTTGAAAGTCAACAGTTTATCACTATTTCCGATTTGTGCATTCCATTCGTCAAGATGCAAGAAAAGTATCTTTAAAAACAGTTGATCGACATCATTTTCTTGGAACCATACGGAACATGTTTCCAAAAGCCTTCAACATAGCAAGGGGTGAGCAATCATCGCGAACATTACGCACAGACCCCGTGGTTTGGTCGGCAACATTGAGGATGCCCTGTTGTCGAACATGATAAGAGAGATTGCATAAAATACCGCGTATACGCAGTGTTTTCGGTTTAGGGTTCCGAGTTTCGAGGGTTTGCGGTTTTAGGGTTTAGGGTTTAGAGTTTAGGGTTTTAGGGTTTTAGGGTTTAGGGTGCCAGGCCTAGAATTTAGGGTTTAGGGTTCGTTGGCTGAAAAATACCAAAACATTGGCCCTGCGCAGGTATTTGAGCATGCCGAAGGATAATGTTTGAACACCACTCTAACCTTCCGGGCAAACCATAGGGTCTTGCCGGAACATTAGATATTCTTAAAACAGAAAAAACAACTAGACTAGTCCACAAAAATGCTCCATTTGTGTATATCACTTTATCACTTATATATATATACGCATCATATTATGGTTGCATTCACCAGTGGCTAACTTCCGCAACACCAATTGTTTAATGTGCACCTCAGCAATAGAGGCAATGCGGCTACTTCGCTGGAAACCTGACGTGGTGGGGTTTCCAGCTGGAATTCTCGGTAATTCTGCAACCCCAAGACATAGATCGAACAATTGGAAAACTGGAGGTTACCGGGGGATAGCATCTATGAGATACTGGAAACACAACTTGTTTTTTTTGGGGACCCCAATATAACATAATGGCAACAGATTTCGATCCTTTCGGGGACCCAATGTATAGTTATGATTATGTACGTGCATATACAATCATATACACCTAGGCATATATAGGATAGGATAGGATAAGATAGGACAGAACAGGATAGGATAGTACTAGGATAAGAATGACCAAGATTAGACAGGATTAGATTCGACTAGATTAGATTGGATACAAATAGAGTAGCTAGATAGATCGATAGATAAAAGAAGAAATATAGATTGATCGATAGGTAGATCAATAGATTGATTGATTCATGGATTGATAGATTCGATAAAGAATCGTCAATTTGATTTTGATCACGGCAAATCTCCAACTAGAACTATATCCAGGATAATTCTTGGCTGCTGGAATAGCAATAATTGGTCGGTTCCCAAACTGGGAGACCGCAAGTTATCATTCAAGCTATTGGTAAAAACATGTCTTCTAAAAAACGGGGGACACCAATTGTGCCTGCAGGGGTACCCGATGGTAAAAAAACAAAGGATCTGAACACAAGTTATTTTTTGGTGAGGTTAGCAAGCGATTTCGCGATAACAAGCACCAAGAACATAGCAAAAAATCTGCATTGTTTTGGGGGAGTGACATCGTATGCATCCGTATGCCATTTTGTGGGACTGAGCAATGAACATATTATACCTTCTGGTCATTTAACATAGCCATGGAAAATCACCCAAATAAATGGAGGTTTCTAGCTGGGAAAATCATCTATTTCTATGGGCCATCTATACCATGGCTATGTTAGTCATAACCAGATGGTACAACAAAAATAAATGGCCCATAGAAATAGATGGTTTATGAGGATTTACCTATTAAAAATGGTGATTTTCCATGGCAAACTGTTAGTCATAACCAGATGGTACAACAAAAATAAATGGCCCATAGAAATAGATGGTTTATGAGGATTTACCTATGAAAAATGGCGGATCTTTCCATGGCAAACTGTTAGTCATAACCAGATGGTACAACAAAAATAAATGACCCATAGAAATAGATGGCTTATAAGGATTTACCTATAAAAAATGGTGATTTTCCATGGCTATGTTAGTCATAACCAGATGGTACAACCAAAATAAATGGCCCATAGAAATAGATGGTTTATGGGGATTTACCTATTAAAACTGGTGATTTTCCATGGCAAACTGTTAGTCATAACCGGATGGTACATCAAAAATAAATGGCCCATAGAAATAGATGGTTTATGAGGATTTACCTATTTAAAATGGTGATTTTCCATGGCAAACTGTTAGGCATAACCAGATGGTACAACAAAAATAAATGGACCATAGAAATAGATGGTTTATGAGGATTTACCTATGAAAAATGGTGGATCTTTCCATGGCAAACTGTTAGTCATAACCAGATGGTACAACAAAAATAAATGACCCATAGAAATAGATGGCTTATAAGGATTTACCTATAAAAAATGGTGATTTTCCATGGCTATGTTAGTCATAACCAGATGGTACAACCAAAATAAATGGCCCATAGAAATAGATGGTTTATGAGGATTTACCTATTAAAACTGGTGATTTTCCATGGCAAACTGTTAGTCATAACCGGATGGTACATCAAAAATAAATGGCCCATAGAAATAGATGGTTTATGAGGATTTACCTATAAAAAAGGGTGATTTTCCATGGCAAACTGTTAGGCATAACCAGATGGTACAACAAAAATAAATGGCCCATATAAATAGATGGTTTATGAGGATTTACCTATTAAACATGGTGGATCTTTCCATGGCAAACTGTTAGTCATAACCAGATCATCCACCTATCCTCTTGGGATGTCAAAAAGGATTACGACGGGATTCCATGAGAACCCGCAACGCGGTAGCGTTGTCGCTACAGGCTTCGTCCAGAGTAATGAAAAAGGTGATGTCATATCAGTGATATCTATGAGTCTATGGGTCTATGGATATCAAAGAAGTCACTACCTGACATATAGTGGATATATATATATACTGGATTTTTTTGTCTCCTCTGAAATTCGTCAATTCTCCGGATCGCTGAGAGTTTTTGCAAAAGATCTGTGACCCATGATCCCATTTGACCCGTGTCTGTCACATCAAGTGCTCCATCTCTGGATGATCAGCATATGAAAAAAAACCTTGAAGGCCTTGGAGAAATGTTGAGACAATACGATTCATGGACTATGATCATGATCCAAATATGAGATCTGCCAGGCCCTACATCGATGCATCACCTTGTTCTCCGTCTTCCAATAATTGGACTCTTCTTTGGATCAAGGTTAATCTCAGATTCTCAGATACCTTGCCTACGTGATTTCGTTCATGGGATATCAACTTGTCCTCCATGGCTAGAGAAACCATTGACCTGCCATGCCTAGCTAGATTTAGTAAGTTGAATAAAACCCTGGTGAAAGTCCTCAGTGATCCCCATTCCCTAATTCGTGGATTCTCATGGATTCTCCCATTTGTAAACCAATTTGCAAGAGGAAATCAGCATTTTTCATAGGCAAATCAACGAACTCAATGGGCCATTTTCCGGAATTAGCCTCTGGTTATTTAACACCTTTTTAGCGCCATTATGGCCCATGGGGAGCTCAATGGGCCATTTTCAAATAGCAAACTGTGAGTTTACCAGAATTTAATCCCCGTGACTCACCCGTTGCTCCGGTTGCGCTGGCACCTGTGCTTTCCGCCACAATGCGGCCAGAGTCCCAGCGCGCACGAGCGCGATGATATTCCTTGGTCAAAAGAAGGATTGGAACTACCCAACTGCTAGTTTAATATATAGAAAAGCACCTTTAAATTGGGATTGATCATCGAACTGGACTTATCATATCTGATCATTCTTCAATCAGCTGTGTTCTTTCCATAGCTGCAACAAATTAACCGGAGGCTACGAGGGAAAGATACCATGAGTCTTTCTAACTGCGAGATATCAAGGGATCCACCCCATGCCCAATGGGGGTCCAAGCTGGGGCCCCCAAAATCAGTGGCCCATGTTATTTCTTGGGGCCAGCAACTTGCATTGAATTCATCATCCCTATACTTGCAACATATTCAACAAACAAAAACCATCAGTCTAATGTGCGGATATATAGTTTGAAACCCATGGTACAATAGGGTGGATGAACAGGCACGTGCCAGCTACTGTTGATGTTCACCAGTGTATATAACACTGTTTTGACTATATGCGTGTGAGATCATGTTGAGTTTCTGAATATTTAATTATGGGGGAACCCTCCAAATAGTTATAGTATGATACTCAATTGGTACTCTGAAAAACCCAGTCCTGTGGGGACTGCTTCAGTGTACACACTCATTCTGTACATATACAGATATATACCATCTACATTACATTACGTATAAAAAATGCAATATGTATATTATAGTGTGTATATGTATTTCATGAAACTGTGTTATATCAAGTTATAAAGTTATATTGACTTAAATTAAATAAGATGAAAATACATATATTATATCATGATAAATATAACATATCATATACAATACATACATACATACATACATACATTAATTACATACATACATACATACATACATACATACATACATACATACATACATACATACATACATACATACATACATACATACATACATACATACATACATACATACATACATACATACAACATACATACAACATACATACATACATACATACATACATACATACATACATACATACATACATACATACATACATACATACATACATACATACATACATACATACATACATACATACATTACATACATTACATACATTACATACATTACATACATTACATACATTACATACATTACATACAGTACATACATTACATACATTACATACATTACATACATTACATACATTACATACATTACATACATTACATACATTACATACATTACATACATACATACATACATACATACATACATACATACATACATACATACATACATACATACATACATACATACATACATACATACATACACACACATATATATATGAATATATTTATTTATTGTTGTTACTATTATCGTTTATATTACACTACATATATATATATATATAGTTAGTTATATGTGTGCTACTATGAGACATACTCTTCCCGCACTCACCAAACTATATCAGATCTGCAAGTCGTGACCTTGGTAGCCCATGAAGTTTCCAGGTGGAAAAACATGTGGAAAATCCAAGGTTTACCCTAGGAAAATGAAGTCAGACTTTGAAATATATGGGACATGCTGATGTTTTTGGTGCTTTTGCGTATTACATCTATTTCAAGAATCTGTGACCCAATTTTGACCCCCATCTATATACAGCAATAGATGTACCCTCTAGTATCCAAACATGGCTGGAAATCCTCCGTTTATAGATTATATACCATCTGGTTATTTAACATAGCCATCGAACATCCCTTATAAATGGAGGTTTTAATGGGAAAATCCAGCGAACGAAACCTCCCTGGCGGGATTTCCCGCGAAAAAAACCCCGTGTCAAGTCACAGGTCTCACGGGATCCATTTGCACCGGCTGACATAGGACAGCATCCACTCGAGGATACACCGGAGATCCTGGGACGACTGGGACGAGGAACGTGGGATCCTGGCAAATCCCCAAAACATGGAGGCTTAAAAAATGGGAAAATCAATGAACATCATCTACAATTTTTTACACATTTCCAGCCAATGTTTGATTACCTTCTTGGGTAACAGTATGATAACAGTGATCCCAAACAATCTCCAAGTTTGGGAGCAATCAGCTACAGTACAGGTCCAGAGTACGTCCAGAGCACCTAATTCGGACTGGCATTTTGTTGTCCATTTTCGCCCTGCACCAACAAAAAATCCGGCAAAGTAATGGGGTTGCAAGGCATTGTTTTCCTGATGGATCCGACTATCTTGGAGTCACATTGTCAAATTTCTACGACCTTTTGACTGTGGGAAATGGTTTTTGAAATTCTGACTCAACACACAAGAATGTGATCATCATCTTCGCTCCAAGTCCCCTCTTATTTGGGGCCACATTTCTGTACAAACCCAAATACCACATTGTTGATGTTTTATATATTCCGTTATATTCCATTGTCATCCATGTTCCACACCATTATATTCCCTTATATTCAATTATTATTCCATTGTATACTCCGTGATATTCTATAGTATTCCATAATATTGCGCTACATTCCATTCTATTCCACATTATATCTGAACAAAATATTATAGATATATGTATGCTATATTATATAAATATAATACTATATATATATATAGTATAAAAAAATATAAAATAATATAATATAATATAATTTAATTTTATATATAAGGAATATAATAACATAAATATCGTATAGTCTAGTATAGTATTAGTGTGTGATATAATATAACAAAATAATATATATAATAATATAATATATAATAATAACATTTTTTTTGAAATTTTAATGAAAATATAATACACATATTTATTAGAATAATCTATAAAATATAACTGAAAATTAAATAACAATACTAAAAATAAAATTATATAATAATATAATATGTATATATTATTCTTCTATAAATACGAATATATTGATCATATAATAATGATATAATATGTATTTATATATAATCATATAATTTATATTTATATAATAACAATATATCTAATAATAATACACCACAGTAAATTATAATACAATATAATACAATATAATACACCATAATACAATATAATACAAAATAATATAATATGATATAATAAAATATATGTATATATTAATATTATAGTAAAAACAATATAAAATAATGTAATATATATATATGTACTAGTCTAGATAATATAATAATCTAGAAAATATAAAATAACATGCTATAATATTGAATACTAATATATACTAATATGAATATATAAAATTTAATGTAATGTAATGTAATGTAATATGATATAATTTCAAATAATAAAATCTAAAATAATACATAATATAATATTATATAATAAAACACAATAACATAATATGTTTAAATATATATATATAATATCTTAATATGTGTATATGTATAATACAATAAATTGCAATTATATAAAATGATATAATATAATATAATATAATTTAATATAATATAATATAAATATAAGTATAATTTTAAAAAAATACATCATATAATATACATTTATAAAATATACATAGCAATCTATATAATAAATTTTAATAAAATATCATGTAATGTGGTGTGATATATTGACAAATATATTCTCATATATACAACATAATAATCACACTATATATTTATATAGTAACAATCTACATAATATAATATAAGAAAACAAAATATAATGTAAACTAATATAATATAATATAATATCTTTAATCTAATATATATAAAAATAATAATGGATAATAATATATATATAATAAACTATTAAACATAATTCAATATAATATAATATAATACAATATAATAATAAAAAATATCATAAATAGTAATCTGTAAATAGTAATCTATATAATATAATAAACTATAACATATAAAAAATGATATAATATAATATAATAATATAAATAATGTAACGTAATGCAATGTAATGTAATATAATAAAATATAATGTCATGTAGTATGATATAATATTACATAATATGTAGTAATCTACAAAATATAATATAATATACTAGAATATAGTCTAATATAATAAAAAGCATATATATAATATTTATAATAGAATATAAAATAAGAAAAGCAAGAAATATAGTATAATAGAATAGGATATAATATAAAACATTAGGGTTTAATATATTATAATATCACAGAATAGAAAATAATATCATAGAATATAAAAAAAAATAGAATATGATATAATAAAATAAAATAGTAAATAAACCAATAAAATGAAATATGATATAATTAAAAAAACAGAATAAAAATAGTACAATATAATGTGATATGATATACTATGATATATATATATGTAATATAATAGAAAACAATAAAATACACTATAATATAATATAGTATAATATATAATATATAATATAATATATAACTTTAAAAAATGATATATAATAAAAACAAATATATATTTAATATATTCTAATATAAAATATATAAAACTATTTAATATAATAAATACTATATAATATATAATATTTAATATAATATATAACAAATACTAAATATAAAAAATATAATATACTATTTAATATAATATATAATATATAATATATAATATATAATATATAATATAATATAAAATATATAATATAATATAATATAAAATTTAAAATATAAGATAGTTTTCAATAAACTATATATAATAAAAAATATACATAATATAAGAAAAATAAAATATATAATATAAAATACAATATATAATATAATGTAGTATAATATAATGTAATATAATAAAATTTAAAATATAATATATAATAAATAATATAAAATATATAATATATAAAATATAACATAATATATAATAACATAGACCCGGGCAAGCCGGCGGCGGAAGTTTCCCAAACATAAATGACCTATAGTTCGAAGACAACCTGTCCCGACCGTGTCCTTCCCTCGACACTCCACACCTCACACTGCACACTGCACTCTTCGCACTCCAAACTTCAAACTTCACACTCCACACTTCACACTTCTCACTTCTCACTGCTTCCTTCACACTCCAAACCTCACACTTCACACTTCACACTTCACACTGCGCTCTTTGCACTCCAAAGTGAAACTTCACACTCCACACTTCACACTCCACATTTCACACTTCACTGCTTCCTTCACACTCCAAACCTCACACTTCACACTTCACACTGCGCTCTTCGCACTCCAAACTTAAACTCACAACATTCACACTCACACACTTCACACTTCTCACTGCTTCCTTCACACTCCAACTTCACACTTCACAGTCCACACTTCACACTTCTCACTGCTTCCTTCACACTCCAAACCTCACACTTCACACTTCACACTGCGCTCTTCGCACTCCAAACTGAAACTTCACACTCCACACTGCACACTTCACACTCCACACTTCACACTTCTCACTTCCCACTGCTTCCTTCACACTTCACACTTCACACTGCACTCTTTACGCCCCACACTTCCCACTGCTCTAAACCTACGTGCAACAAAAAAACACTAGTGCCAAAATGGAGAAAATCTGCTAACAAATTTATTTCGCAGCCTTCATGCAGCCACTCCAAGACGATTTCCGAGATCCAGCTGCAAAAGACAATAGTATTACGAATGCAGCCACAGCACGAAGCAACCTTGACGCAGCCATTACAATGCGATCTGCAGAGACTGAGTTGCAAAACACACTAGAACTACGCGCAACGGCGTCGGAAATTGTAGCTCCAAAACCGGATCTCGACGCCAGAGCAAAAAAAAGACGATTTTGAAGCACTTTTTAAAAGGATTTTTAGAAGGAAAATCACTAGTGCCAAAATGGAGAAAATCTGCTGACAAATCATTGTCGCAGCCTTCATGCAGCCACTCCAATACGATTTACGAGATGCAGCTGCAAAAGACAATAGTATTACGAATGCAGCCACAGCACGAAGCAACCTTGACGCAGCCATTACAATGCGATCTGCAGAGACTGAGTTGCGAAACACAATAGAACTACGCGCAACGGCGTCGGAAATTGTAGCTCCAAAACCGGATTTCGACGCCAGAGCGAAAAAAAGACGATTTTGAAGCACTTTTTAAAAGGATTTTTAGAAGGAAAATCACTAGCGCCAAAATGGAGAAAATCTGCTGACAAATCACTGTCGCAGCCTTCATGCAGCCAGTCCAATACGATTTACGAGATCCAGCTGCAAAAGACAATAGTATTACGAATGCAGCCACAGCACGAAGCAACCTTGACGCAGCCATTACAATGCGATCTGCAGAGACGGAGTTGCAAAACACAATAGAACTACGCGCAACGGCGTCGGAAATTGTAGCTCCAAAACCGGATCTCGACGCCAGAGCGAAAAAAAGACGATTTTGAAGCACTTTTTAAAAGGATTTTTAGAAGGAAAATCACTAGCGCCAAAATGGAGAAAATCTGCTGACAAATCACTGTCGCAGCCTTCATGCAGCCACTCCAATACGATTTACGAAGTCCTGCTGCAAAAGACAATAGTATTACGCATGCAGCCAAAGCAGGAAGCAACCTTGACGCAGCCACTACAATGCGATCTGCAAAGACTGAGCTGCAAACCGCAATCCCATTTACATTGCGGGAACGATCCTACAGTTGCAAAGCAGAATGGAATTCCATCGGCAACTCATCCACCAGCACCACTTGCAATCCCATTTACATTGCGGGAACGATCCTACAGTTGCAAATCACAATGGAATTCTGTCGACCGCACATGCACGAAAAACAGGTGAAACCCCATTTACAATGCGGAACCGATCCGCAACTGCCGCACAGACGAGGTACCTTTCATCGCCGGCTGCAGCCACTTTACACGGAAAAACACAAGGTTTCGTGCTCCGGCTTCCTCAACAAAAAATAGCCCACGCAACATTCATGCAGCCATTACAATGCGTTCGTTTCGCAGCATCCCGTAGCAAACCTGCATCTATCTACGGACGTGGCAACACCAAATGACAACAATCATGCAGCCATTCCAATGCGATCTGCCACCACAGCTTCAAGAAGCGCATAGAACTACGCACACAGGAACAACCACTCGTTGCAAAACACATAGGAGGAACAATTCGCGACAGAAACGACCCCAGCCGCAACCGCCGCACAGACGAGGTACCTTTCATAGCCGGCTGCCACTTTACACGGAAAAACACAAGGTTTCGTGCTCCGGCTTCCTCCCCAAAACATAGCCCATGCAACCTTCATGCAGCCATTACACTGCGTTTCGCAGCATTCCGTAGCATACCTGAACCTATCTACAGATGGCAACACCAAATGACAACAATCACGCAGCCATTCCAATGCGATCTGGCACCACAGCTTCAAGAAACACATAGAACTACGCACACAGGAACAACCACTCGTTGCAAAACACATAGGAGGAACAATTCGCGACAGAAACGACCCCAGCCGCAACCGCCGCACAGACGAGGTACCTTTCATCGCCGGCTGCAGCCACTTTACACGGAAAAACACAAGGTTTCTTGCTCCGGCTTCCTCCCCAACTCACCACTTCCCTTCCTCACCACTTCCCATCGTCACCACTTCCCATCGTCACCACCTCCCTTCGTCCACTTCCCTTCCTCACTACTTCTCTTCCTCACCACTTCACATCGTCCCCACATCCCTTCCTCAAAAATCCCCTTCATCACCACTTCCCATCGTCCCCACCTCCCTTCCTCAAAAATCCCCTTCATCACCACTTCCCTTCGTCACCACTTCCCTTCGTCACCACTTCCCTTCGTCACCACTCCCCTTCATCATCACTTCCCTTCTTCACCACTTCCCTTCTTCACCACTTCCCTTCGTCACCACTTCCCTTCTTCACCACTTCCCTTCCTCACCACTTCCCTTCGTCACCACTCCCCTTCAACATCACTTCCGTTCTTCACCCACCCTGTGTCATAGCTTCTTATTCTTTTGTTATGTATTGTTATGTGATCTACCACCCTTCATCAAGGTCAACTGCACAGCTTCTTATTCTTTTGTTATGTATGTTACATTATGTATTGTTATGTGATCTACCACCCTTCATCAAGGTCAACTGCATAGCTTCTTATTCTTTTGTTATGTATTGTTACATTATGTATTGTTATGTAATCTACCACCCTTCATCAAGGTCAACTGCATAGCTTCTTATTCTTTTGTTATGTATTGTTACATTATGTATTGTTATGTGATCTACCACCCTTCATCAAGGTCAACTGCATAGCTTCTTATTCTATTGTTTTGTATTGTTAGATGACGTACCACCCTTCATCATTTCAAGTCTCAGAATTCTATTTGTCCGTAACTCGGAATTATATATTGCTTCCCAACTTCCCTTGATAATATAATATAATACAATACCCCGCCAATTCCTTAAATTTACTTAAAAATCCTTAAATTTCCTTAACATTTCCCTGCGATTTCCTTAAAATTTCTGAACGTTCCTTAAAATTCTTGAAAATTCCTTAAAATTCCTCAAGATTCCTTGAAATTCCTTCAAATTCCTTAAATGTAAGGAATAATATATAATATATAGATGCTTGTATTTCCATTTTTAGACTCAGGATTGCTCCGCAGTCGAGTTTCTGAGGGATCCCATCCCGGCCAGTTTCAAAATGGCCGGAGCCGCCAGGAGTTTGAAGGTCACGAAGCAACTCACGGGATTTCCCGGAAGACCTCGGGGGGATCCTGTCATGTCATGGGGGTAATAGCTGGATGGTTTTTTTTGTAGGAAATCAGGGAAATCCTATAAACATTTATGATTTATAGGCATATACCCCCAATTGTAGGAAGCCTCCATTTAGACATCGGTAAACTGTTGAGGATCTGTGAATGATTTCTGCGAAACTCGTTGAAGAAATGAGATTTCAATGGATTTCAATCTGGTTATTTCAGTTATTTGGGGATCAATGTACGTAATGGGTGCCCGAGTTAGACTCATACGATTCATGTCTTAGTTGAACATGCTCAATTTAGAGAAACACCTATTTACTCTATTCAGATGTATATAGATATATTGATATATATATATACACACAAGATAAGATATATATATAGATATATACGTAAATATATATATATGTATTATATAATTATATATATATATATTAAAATCTCAAACAACGAATGATGCATCATGATACCGTTGAATCCCCGATATTCTCCATCCAGCTATAGATGAAACACACATCATTCATCTGCTGTTTCACAGTTCACAGTGCCTAGGCGCCGAAGAAGAGCCTTGGTTGGTTCTCCGCCGACTTCACGGTCGCAAAGGTACTAGGCTTGCCCGGTTTCATGCACATCTCTCCGAAGTGAAGCTCTCCTGCAGCAACTGCAGCTGTTGACAGCCACCTGGTTTCTTCCACTGGAACACAATGGGTCTGTCCAAAAAATGATCATGAAATTTATCATAATTTAATCATGATCATAATTCCAATTATGTATTAGATATATTATCCGATAATGGAGATGAAACATCAATGTAACTGGGAAGACTCACTCCGTAGCCACCGCTTTTTTGTTGCTCCCAATTTAACAGGGAACATGGATACCAATAGCTCCTCAGCCTTAGTTCTTTCTTAACCACCAGATATCACTGGGACCCGGGCCGAGTTCTTCAAGTACCTCCTTGATGTAGTCCTCTGAATACACACGTCCCGTTGGCTATGCGTGCCATGGTCAAGAAGAATGTGGAAAAAAGGGGTGGTATAACCATCCCATCTCGAAAATCCAGAATGAACATATAAATCATGTAAACATCCAGCTGCTAACGGATTGATGATGGGAATCATTCCCCCATTTTGATGGTTTTTTTAACCAATGAACTTGACTGTGGCATGGGAAACAAGCTCTGTGGATTTGAGGACCCCCCAAAAAAAACAAAAAAAACACATTCACACTGTGAATTCCCCCCCCCAGTGGTATATACTGCTGGATTTCCCAATTGGACAATAACAATATAAACCTCAAAAACTCATCGTCAGATCCAGGTGTTTCAGCTGCATCTCAGTATCTCAGTCAGGATGCGGTCGAGGTCCTTGTTGCCTCGACTCACTCCACCAGAAGTTATGACCACATCTGCCTAGGCACCAAAAAAACATCACGCCCGTCACGGCAAGTAGGGCTGGGATCCTCCAAGTAGATTGTTTCAGCGTTTCAGCATGCCATGGGAGGATCGCCTTCTGTTTCATGGGAAAAACACACGATCCACAACAACAAGATGTTGGGAATACAAGATATGTTTTTTTTAATCTATTGCCATGTATCTATAGCCATCTTAAATCATATTGAAAAATCAAACAAAGGCGAAGATTCCCAGTGACGTTGGTGCCCAAAACAACCAAGCTGCAAACTTGAAAGCATCTGCAATTGTGGCACGAACACATTCAACTTCGTCTTTCCTGGAGCAACAACTGGGCATCGCAGCTAGTTCAGTCGTCAATTGGTGTGATGCCCATCATCAATGAACAGGTATCAAAAAAAATGCAAATACAATCAAATACCATCTGGTTATTTAACATAGCTATGGTATAGATGGCCCATTTACAGATGACTTTCCCAGCTAGAAACATCCATTTATAATGGATTTTCCAGCCAGCTATGTTAAATAACCAGATGGTACATCCAAATTTGGCGATCTAAGATGATCTAAGTTGTTATTTGGACCACTTACCATCTGGTTATTTAACATAGCCATGGAAAATCATCATTTTTAATAGGTAAACCATCTATAAATGAACCATTTTCCATGGCTATGTTAAATAACCAGAGGGTAATTTGTTGTGGTCTGAACTTTTGTATTGTGTGATTCGCACATGCCACTCCTACACAAAGTCTATGCCACCACCATGACAGCCTAGGTGGACAAACCTATTCTGAACCTACGCGAAACCTGCTCAACTGCTACGCCTAGGCAAAAACTTATGCCAAACCTACCGCGCAAAGGCAAAACCTACGCCTACCTCTTCTGAATGTTCTCTGTGCATCAGCCCTGCTTAATCAGGAGACCTGTTCTATAGACTCCAAACAGGATTTGGCATATCAGTAGTTGCAGGTGCTGATGCTGAGAAGGTTCCCAATTTTTTTTAGCCAAAAATGTGCCCAGTGTGTCTTGAGGGCAATTCAATTGAAAAAAAATAAGAGGGATTCTAGCCTGGTGCGCCCCTGGTGTTTTTGTCTTTCCATGGTTTGTTCCCTGACAGTAATGAATCAAAAACAGGTTCCGGCAAAAAATGCACACATATCATGTATTTCTTTGTCAAAAGGGTGGTTTTCCCATGGTTTTTCCCACTTGTCCTAAGGTTCGCCACGTTTTTTCAGGTTTTTTTCGATTTTCCTAACGGTTTTCTCCATAATTTACCATCTCTACCAAGGCTCACCACCCCAAGATCCGTCACCATCGCGCCCAGCTCCTGCCAGCGACGAAAGAGCCGAGCCTGCACCCTGAGGTTCAGAGTTTTTTTTGGAGAAATGGACCATTTTACCTGTAACAAACAAAGGAAAATAATCTCTGGAAACGTTTGTGTATATAGCAACCCCCCAACAATATTTAGAAAAATCAATGTTGATACCTAGGCTCTCCATTTCTAGCTTTAAATTACACCGGCAAAAGATCCCAAACACTGTGGGGGATAGGAAGTCAATGTACCAAATACAAGCCACAATAGCTATGGAACAGTAACAGATGAGGTTAGGCATGATCGCAGCGGCAGCGCCTTTTATTTAGATCTATATAGAGGAACTCACAAGATCTTCATACAAGAACTTCCCATGAGCATCCCAAAGGAACTTTCGTACAACCACCAAGGCAGAGGAACTTCAAGATCTTAATGCAAGGGCCTCTTGAGGAGGATTTCAACAGAATCTCCACAAGATCTTCTCACAAGGACCTGGACCAGATCATGTAACGACACTGGACGGATTTCACCAGGACATGTTCAAGAGCTTCTCACACGGACCTGGACTGGACAAGATCATGCAAAGGCCTGAGACAGCATGTCACTAGGATCTCCACAAGATCTGCGCACAAGGAATTGCAAAAACTTGGGGCAAGATCTTCATGCCAGGATCCCTAAGAGAATCTCACAAGATCATCAAAAAAGACCAGCTCCTCATGCAAGGACCTCTTAGAGAGGACCTTGCCAGGATCTCCACAAGATCTTCTGTTCAGGACCTGTAAAGGATCTTGCAAGGACCTCCTAAAGAGGAAGTTAGCGGGATCTCCACAAGAGCCCGATTACGCGAGAATTGACAATGAAAATGCCGTCATCTCAATGTTTGCATTGACAACCTATGTTGCAAGACAGTTTCCCCATAGGCGAAAGGTCCGGAGGTCAAAGATGACTACACATAGTCTAACCACGTCACGCCCTCTCAAGGAGCAGGCTTCCTCAAACGAAGTCTGGTGACAGACTTTTTCTCATTGTGCTCCTTCTTCACCTTGGATTTCTCTCTGGGTCTCTGGGGGTGCTTCAATGTCTCCTTTGGCTCTTTCTTCACTGTCGGTCATTTCACTGGCTCCTTAGGTCCTTCTCCGCTGCCTCATCTACTCCAGCATCTCCACCTTATCCCTGTTTCTTTTGTGCGGCCTTTTTCACCATCCATTTTTCCCAAATGCTCTTGCCACTGCGCTTCTTCGGGGTCATTTGCTTCTTGCATTCTTCAACTCCCTTGCCCCATTGTTCTTGAGCTAGAAGCTTCGCCGTGTGACCCGAGGCTCCGTGTTGCTCAAGCAAAGGAATGGCCAGGGCCTGGAACATCTCATCAGTGCATCTCATGGCTTGGCTCGGCCCAGATCAAATTCTAAAGATTGCTTTGCCACACAACACAACATATGGCTCCTCATTGGTTCTTGCGGCGAAGGCTTGATTCATCTATACGGTTCTCATCTTTTGGTCCTCTCTTGGTTCTTGTGTGGTCATCTTTGCTTAGGCATGTTTTTGTTACTTTCACATGGGCCAGGATGGCTGGAGCATTGGAATATGACAGAATATGGTCTAGCACTGAACTGGCCTGATCGCCCGTGGCAGCCCACAGAACATGACTGAAATACAGGGCTCAATGACTTGCATATGAACTAATTCAATTAAATCACCATTGCTTCTGGTAAATCGAACTTTTATGCGCTTCTGTTCACTGGGGCACTAGGCTTGGGCAGAAAAATCACAAACAACAGCGATGGAGAAGGCTGTTAAAGCATGCCTTTGGTGGCGAAACAGAGGTTGTGCAGAGATAAAAATCGCCCCCTCCCCCAAAGCTGCATGGAATCTGCTTATGTATGCTGATAAGCGTTGGAAAATGGACCCCAGCCGGAAAAACTTGGTGGAATATGGTGGGATCTTGGCGGTTCATGTACGTCTCTCATCAGCATCATCAGACTAGGTTGGGCTTCCTGCCCAAATGGTGCGGAGGCCCAGCGGGCGCATGACTTTCACCAAACTTTGGGGGACAAAAGGAAAGCTGATCGCCACGTTTAACGTCACAGCTTAGGTAGCTTCAAAAAATTGATTAGTTAATGGATGTTGATTTCTCCAAATATAGAATTTAACGGTATTTCCATGCATTTCCAAAGGTCTCAAAAAGATCAAAAAGGTGATTCCCCCGATCCTCACAGTATTGAACCTGCGTTTTGTTCGGGGATGTTCCAGCCAGCCACGTTTGATTGCCACAAGGGTAAACCCATTTTATCCAGGTTTGTTGGTAAAATCCAAACTTTTGTTGGATTTGTTGGTTTTCCCAGCCTGTGCAGTCGAATTGCACATGGACATCTCACAAGAGGCATTTTGTGCGAGAATTCTCTGGAAAATGCCGCGCCCCAGAACTTAGCCCCGCGTTTTGTGCGAGCCTGCACAGTCGAAATGCACATGGACATGTCACAAGAGCAATTTTATGCTAGAATTTACAGGAAAAATGCTGAAAGCCAGCTGGAGCACCCTGATCAAGCACCGACCTTTGGATAAAGCGCTTCACCCAACAATTTTTGTACTTTTTATGTACTTTTACTATTTCTTTTCGTTGTATTTGGAGGGTCTAGGTATATATATAGCAAGCACCCATAGAAATATAGAAGTTAGAAACCAACTAATTGCGCGAAAAAAAACCTCTGCGCTATCCTGGAAAAGGAAATATGTTTCTATCCTTTTGGGGGCTACTGTCACTAGCAAAACTAGGGGTACCCTTATAGGCAGATGAGATATTGATTCCCAAATCCCCTAGCTAAGCATCATCCTCCTCGGTTAGGTCGCTGGAATTTACACTGGTTGAGATCAGAAAGAAGTTGGCACCTCTGTGCAGAGAGTGACAAGATGTTGATTGATGAATTGGAGGGTTCCCTCCAAATAGTGACAGAGGGCTACCAAACTGGAACACCCCCTATTAAATCTGGCTGTAAATTACAATATTTCACTGATTGAAGATTATGTGAGGGTGATTTCCCTTATTCACCGTGATTCCAGTGAAGGCCGGGAGTTTATAAATCCAGGGTTGACATTAAACAACTGTGAAGATCTATTGGTTGGTCAGCCTGAAGCCAATACTATGTTTGGGCTATGGAACCTACGTATCCAGATTGGAAAGGCTGTGGAAAGTCGAACACCTTTGGGACATGATCGAACATCCAAGATTCTCTATGCATGGTTAGTAGAGCAAGAACATATTTCCCAGATCTGCCCTTTGGATTCACTGGTAGTCCTTGACCATTGCACACAGCAAAGGTCGATTGGAGTCCACAATTTGTCCTGCAGACTGTGGGGTCAGCGGCTGATCAAAGGGGCCGCTACAATTGTACCTACCGGCCCCTGTATAAATGGAATATCATGGAATATATCTGCTGATGTGTATAGATATTCCATGATATTCCATTTATACATTTGTAATGTCAGATCCATGGAATATATGCTAATGGAATATCATGGAATATCTATGTCCTTGTCCATTTTGCTAACCCCATGATCTATGCAAGTATGGGTGGACATGGGTGGAAATAAGAATACAATGAGAAGGTGTAGGAGGCGTAGAGTTGCCATATGTGAGCCTTAAAATAAGTCCACCATGTTTGGATCTCTTTTCGGGGCATTATTTTGTTCACAGAGAAAAGTGGTAGTACAGTATACATAATCATAATGCACATATAATGAATAAATATATACATATAAATATTTTCATTTTATCATTATCAATTATTGTTATGTATATATATATATGCATATACATCTTATAAATGCATTTTTTCTATATCTCCAACATTTTCCAGCGGGACGATGTATGTATACAATGTATACAACGTATACAATGTATACGTGTGCATGTGAGCCATCTTTGAAATACACACACACACACATAACTGGTTTGTGGTTTTAAACATCTTGAAAAAATATGAAAGTCAGTTGGGAAGGATTATCCCTTTTTTAGTATGGAAAATAAAATTCATGTTTGAAATACCACCAACCAGATAATGAACAAAACAACAACAGCATCTCTGATGACTGCAAGTTCACAGTTTTTCAATCCCAAACTGGGCAAGTACCATTCAGAAATCAAGATCCAAAGCCAAAAACACAGCAAACTCTGCTTGGATTCAGACCCTTGCATTCAACATGTTCCTCGAAACAGCCAGGCAGCTAGTCGCTAGTTTTCCTTTTGCAATTTCTTGCCAAAGATACCCTCTGGTAATTTAACATAGCTACTGGAAATGACCAGGTGATTTCCCTATTAAAAATTTTGATTTTCCATAGCTATGTTAGTTTACCATCGCTAATTATGTTAGTTTACAAAAGGGCAATTTGTTTTTCAAAATCAAATAGGGAGCACGTAGGCGTTTTTTTACATACCGAAAGGGATGTACCTCTTGAACGCAATTAATCATTTTTTGCGTGCCAGTCATCTCTTCCGTTCAAAACAAAGTAATCTTTGTTCAACATTCATATGACCATCGGTCAAGTTAATATAGCTATGTTAAATGAAACATCTATATATCTGGTTGGTGGTTTCAACCCCTCTGAAGAACATGAAAGCCAGTTGGGATGATTATTTCCAATATGTATATCGAAAAATAACAAATGTTCCAAACTACCAACCAGATAGATATATATATATATATATATCCTGTTCTCATTTTATTTTGGTGATCTTCCACTGTTATGTCAAAAAAATACCGGAGGCGAGCAATTTCCGGAAGGTTTTCCTTCAGATGCAGAATTCAAGTGGTGTAGTGTAGTATTCCTTGATTTTCCACACTTGTTTTACTTTGCTTCAAATGATGCAGCATTTCTTGAACAAAGATTCAGTAATCCTGTAGAGAAGTGGAGATTACTGTGAAAGAAACAGATTCCATTCGTAAGATGCAGAGGTTCTTGAAAAAACACGTTAATTGAAACAAACATTTGTTTAAAGATAAAGTATGCCGTATTCCTTTCAAACAAGCGCGTTTGTTCCATTTTTTCAGGGCATGGCATTCCCTGAAGGAAGCGGCATTGTTGCAAACAATGCAAACTATTTGATTTAACGCAGAGTTTCTCGCAAGAAAAAATATTCAGGTATGTATTTCTTTTGAATATGTAGCATTCCTTTGAAGAAGCACTGTTTTCTCTAAAACAATCAGTCTTCAAAAATTGGAGGATGCAGCCTTTTGCAAAGGACAATCTCCCTTGAAACAATCACTTCTGTATACCGAGTTATCCATGACCAAAGAACGAATTGAGATCCAATTTGTTTTTGCTAGTTCTTGCCGTTCAATCTGCATCTTGGCCTTTTCATTTCAGACTTTCCGTATTATGTAAAATAAAAAACAGTTTCAGCCCAAAAATGTACAGTAACATTAGTCATCAGGGATCAACACCTCGAGCATTAGACTGAACACACAACTTGAAACATGTTCAAACCACTGTGTTTGGTGACTGTCATTATACCATCTAGTTATTTAACATAGCCATATAAGCATGGAAAATCCCTTATAAATGGAGGTTTAATGGGAAAATCATCTATAAATGCACCATGTTCCATGGATATGTTAAATAACCAGAGGATAAGTTGGTGATTAAAGCACCTGCCCTGTCGCACCGTCCATCGTCTTGCCGCAAAAAAAAAGCCGCCTCGGGCCTCGGCTCTCGTCCGGAACTTGCCCCAGCTCCACCAACTCATCACCAGTGGAGAGCAGCGCCACACGCGGAAGGCAGAACACTGAAACACCTCATGACCCGAATTGGTATATTTATTTCAAAAAAAATAATATTTACTAAAACTATATGGATGTAGTGTAGTTCTATTTACCATAGTTATGACTACTATAGTAATGTAGTTGTATACACATTTTTCATACCCATAACTAGAGTTACAAATACTTCAAACCCCAGTTATCATAGTTACAAATCTAGTTGGCTAACTATACCCCAGTTTAGTATCCCCCTAACACGGTTTGCCGTCATTAGTACAGAGTGTTTTAGCGACAATCATCATTAGATATCATGAGTATCAATAGATATCAATAGTAATATAGTTACTAGTAATGCATATAGTATATAGATGGTTATTATGGTTATTATAGTATATATAGTAATATAGCTTATAGTATCACTAGTGATATATAGTGTGGGCAGCCCCATGCCATAGACCTAGCATGACTGGGGATGACTTGGGGATCATCCCACATAGGAAACGGAAAAAAAACCTGGTGAACGTTGAACGTAAGTCCCTGATTCGTGGCTTATCCATGAATCCATGATTATCCCATTTACCCTCTGGTCAACGTTCACATAACTATGGAAAGATCCACCATTTTTTCATGGGAAAACGGAAAACTATTTCGACTGGGCCATGTTCAATAGCTTTCTGTAAACGTTGACCAGAGGGTACACATGGATTAAAATCCCAGCGCTTGGAACATGCTACCCTCCTGTAGACATAGCAAAAAATGTTGAACGCCCACCATGAATGTAGATCAGTTGTTGAACGGCTTTCCGGCTTTTGGGTGCTCCACATCTATATTCGTTTATCCCAGGGTAAATGTGATTGAAAATCACCCCAACTATTGAGATATATTGGGATACAATCTCCCACGCACAATTTTTCAAGTGATCTTCAGCAATCACTAAAACCGGGGCCCCCCCATGAAAGACCCCAGAAATCATGTTGGATGTATGGGATGAAACCACATATTTGAGTACATCACATTATTTTGCGTTGCTAATGCTTGCAATTGCCATCATTGAGCTTCATTGTCTCCCCAACAACTTCACAACATGAAAAAGATAATGTATCACATCCACGGGTAGATCATTACATAATTACACATTGGATAATACCACAACATACCATGATAGTAGTATTAACCATACTTACCACATTAGATTTGGTGTCATTAACTTCACAACATACCATAAGACCAAATACGAACCTTGCTGCTTCACATGAGATCACGTACGTGGGCTGTCCAAGCTAAAAGAAGCTATGTCCCAGGCACAAGGTGTCAAATCTCCTCGTGATCAGCTGGGGTGTTAGCCTCTGGAAAACCTTAACGGTTTGCTAACATGGCCCATTTATAGTTGAATATAATTAGTTGATCTACCGGACTTAAAGATTGTGATTTTTCATAGTTATGTTAGTTTACCAGAGAGTAAGAAACGACAAAACACAACTTTGACAACTTCCCACGGTTTTTCCCATTTCCCCAATGGCTTCCCCCATGTTTTTTTCACATGTTCCGTTGACGTTTCCACCGGAGATTCGCACCAGCCGAGGCTCAGCTGCGATTCAGCGCGGCCAAAACGCCAAGCTCCGAGGCGCGCAGGTGGCAACCTCTCCGCAAGAGCACTTCGTCCTGGGAGCTTCCCCTGGTTTAACGTGGAAGTGGTAACAAAAAACCTTCAGTTTGATTTACAGTAGAAGTTGTAGAGTCTGTATAGTCTACTTTCCTGCGGAAAACGCGACCAGGTCAAACCATAGTTCAAGCTCCTGCTGGAACATGATTACATGGATGTTTCATAGAAACTGACATTTTGCAACTTAAAGTCGGTCCGCAGAAATCACCAAATTGATCCAACATGTATTTGACCACAGACCATCAACGTGGAAACTTGCAAGGCCCCTAAGCTCAAGCATCTCAAAATCTAAGCAATGGCTACATGGGGGACAGACTTCGGAATAGTATAATTTTAACCAATTGTTTTTGGAAATATCATGGATGTGCAAGAAGTCGACTAAGACAACTAAGATATCAAGACCTAGAACTGCAGAAACACAGTTATGTTTCTAGATAGTTATGTATTTGAAAAATCTCAACTTAGATATACACTTCAATATTAAATATTAAACTTCAATATATATATATACATCAATTTCAGACTAGAGTCTATAATGACAGTCTAAGTTGGGTTCTGGATTTTGGTCCAAGAAAAAGGGAAATTCAATAATCTAATCATCAACGCCTGGTAATTCAACAATTTGCCATGAAACATCGCCACTGCTTATAGGTATATTCCAATCAGTCGTCACTCAATGTGCCATTTATTAATACCGTAGCTATGTCAAATTACCATAGGGTAAGTTCCTAATATTTCATGAGTATACCCTGAATGAACCCATGAAAATCTCCACATGAAACAACATATACCACAAATAGCCAGAAATATGTTTCATAACAGCATTACCCATTACAACAAATAACCAACAATTACCATATACCCTCTGGTAAACTAACATAACTATGAAAAATCACAATTTTTAATGGGTAAATCAACTATATTCAACTATAGATGGCAATTTTCAATAGCTATGTTTGTTTACCAGAGGGTAACCATTAAACCATGTAAATCACTGGAGGGTCACATCCCAAAAACATCCCCCGTCCTTCCGTCCTTGGCCGTGTCTGACCCCACCTGCCGAATGTTGGCGCCCGCTTTGCCTCGTTTCGCACAGCGGCAAAAAAACACCCGGGTGATATGCAGATCTTCAATGTAGCGATTCGTGGTACATATGAGAGAGAGAGAGAGAGAGATATATATATATGGGATTAAGGCTATTTAAAATTATAATACGACCTCAAATAGTTAATGTTTGTGAACTAATGTCATTAAATTATAATTCACAAACCTGAATTTCCGGGCTATTTTGGGATAGTTTGCATAACAGTTAGCCCTTACTAACCATCATTCCAGTGAGGTCGCAGTGAGGTCGTTAAAAGTTACCCGGATGTTTTTTTTTCTCTCTCTCTCTCTTTCTTTATATATATGTATATATATATATTTATTTATATTATGATATAAGTTGAATACAGTAGAGTATGATACACTGATATAATACATACAAAATGGATGGCTACATCAGAATATATATATATGTATTTGTATAGATGTGGTCAACAAAAAACAATCCATCGAATCATTGCACATATTCAAAAAGTCAAACAATTACACATATTAACATGATGTTCTCACATGTTTCATTGCAGGCACAATACAATATGGTATGGTATGATATGAAATAAACTGAAAACATACCATGTGTATATATATATATAAGACAACTATATTTTGATCAAATATCAAATGACAGACTGCAAAATACTAAAAATAACACTAATAATATGAATGAAATCGCGGTATAGAAATGTACATAGTATGATATCAAAACATCACATGTTATACCAAACCAACAACCAAATGGAACACAATTTATTACTGTACACGATCATGTAACAAAAAAATACCAAACTATCAGCAGGTTTCATTAACTTAAATGATATATATATATATATTGCAACAAGGAATGGCATATGAAATGTCAAGAAAACATAGTTTAATGTGACCTGAAAACACATCTCAAGATAAGATATCCAGAAATATACAATAAGATGTGATACAAAACAAATACTGTAAGTATTAACTGATATTATATGCAATGCAAATGCAATATCATAGCGAAACATAGTATGGCAAAACAAAACAACCTAAGACACAACAACATCATATGATGATGCCTTGCCCAAAATATGATACAATAAATAATTACACTGTGTATATTTGTGTATATTTGTATGTATATATATACACATCCTGTAAAAGATGAAGAACAAAATAATGTAAACATGTTGTAATCACAAAATGTCATGAAAAAACCAACATATAGTAAGATGCGGTATATTCGATTATTGAATAATAAATGATGATAAATCACACGTATAATGGAATATCATGGAATACTTATAAATATATATAAAGTGATATGAGGCAGCAACATACAATGAGCTATTGCAAATAAAAATATAATGAATCCTTTACTATATCTATCTTTACAAAATGTAGCAACAATGTATTCAAAATAAATCAATAAAGTAGCGTGTATATATATATATATATGTACAAATAATATGTAAATATCATGATGATTATACATCCAAGCCTAAGCGGAGATTCTACAGCTGAGCTGAAAAAAACCTGGTATGTAAATCCTGATCCCAAAAGCAAATCATGTGATTTCCAAGTGGCGGTCTTCATATTCATGTCTCGGCGCTTGATTCTGAACTGTTTGAACTAGAGCTTGTTGCATCTACATCAGGGCTGCTTTCAGCTACATCAGATCCGTAGAGAAAGTGTCGTTCAGCAGTTTTTTTTCAGGGAACAGCATCTTTTTCACCATCCCATGGCCGGGCCATCTTGAAACATGGCGGAAAAGTTTGACAGTGTTACTGGGAAAATTAACCCATGTGTGGAAGAGATTGCTATCAGGTCAATGACTTGGAACGCAGCGCACATGGGATGAATGGTCAGCGGTCTGTGGGCTTTTGTGGACAAGTGGTCATTCTGACTGAAATCCTGATGTCGTTCAGAGGTCGTTCTGAGGTCGTTTGGGAGCCGAGAAAGCTGGCTAAATAGTGACCCTTGAATACACAGTAATTATACAATCTGAAAATCATATCCCTGTCTGAATTCCCCGGTCTGTATTTCTAGTGGGCACTTCTGCTTACTGCCTTGGGTGCGCCCAGGACAAATTCCTTATAAAATGGCTCTGTCTCCAAACATTTTTTTCGCACGTGCATTGGTGGCACAGCACGGGGAAGAGTCTCGGGCTCGTAAAGACATGGTTCTAGAGGGAAACTGCTCAGGCTAGGGTCTCGTTGCAGAGATTACAAAGACGGTGCCAGATGCTGGCTGCTGATTTGTTCCAAATGCATCTAGACCTGTAAATATATGTAAATATATACTTATATACGTATATTTAGGAAGTCGTTCCAATGTCGTTCTGGATGTCGTTCAGAGGGTCGTTCCCCAACTAAATGGCACATTCCAAAATTACGAAAAACATCAGAAATAGCTGTGGCGGTGCCTGGAATTCTGAAAGAAGGATCGCACAATACTACTGTGAATCAACCCTCCTTTTTTTGGCTCAGCTGTCAGCTGCCATGTCTGCACCAGACCAGAGGAATAGACATTTACTCATAATCATCCAGGATTAACACACCTCCAGTCTACAATTGGGGTAGGTACTAATTTCCATAGTAATGCTCATCCCTACTTTTGTGTTAAACCCCCTGGGGAAAAAGTCTGGGTAACATGTCTCACCCGGACTTGACAGGTTTTTAGTTCAGCTAAGCAAAGCATCGAAGTAAATTGACCATGTTCTTCTATTTCCCCATTGCAACATGCAACAGATCACCATAGGGTAATTTGGTGCTCACTTCTGCGCTCAGATCTGATTTTGTTTCTTGCCGTTTCAGCTGAGATGCTGGAAACCAGCACATCGATCTCCACTTCACCACTAGACCTTGATACAATGAATGCATCAAGAAACCATTGAAAATATCCTGCTTGATTGGTAACAAAATGGGGGGGTTATGCAACCTGCGTTCATGGAGATTATTCTGACCCAATGTAAATGGGCCAGGGGGTTTCCACAACCATCTCACATGTTCCAGCTGTCTCCGACGGAGCAACTGGCAAGTTTGGACAATGCATTTCAGGTTCAAATGGGGGAAACGGATTCGTTTTTCAAAAGGATGCTGAGGTGGCTGCACAAAGGTTCAACATGTTTCAATCTGGGGATCATTCTTCAAATGGTTATGGCTCAAAGTGCCCTAGGTGCGCTAAAATAGCTGGTTAATGGATTTTATTACCCCCAAATATGGTAATAATAGGTTTTGACCCATCCCCGAATGTTTGTTTTCTCGCCACAGCCTGAGCAAAATATAGCAAAATGAGTCATCGGGCATCATCATATCTGAAACACAGCAGCTCCATGATATTGGTTTGATGGGGTCTGGAAACACTCTCAAAATACTTTTTTAAACAGAACACTTTTTTGGGGCGGTATATCTATCCAACTTTACCATATATGTTTCCAGACTTGGGGGTACTAAACACTCAACAAAAAGCAACAAATGAAAGGTTTCTGGCATGAAGGGTCATACAATCTCCCACATTGCCCTCTGGTAATTTCACATGTCTGTGGAAAGATCCACCGTTTTTCATGGGAAAATCCACTACCAATGGCAATTTTCCAATAGCTTTCTGTTAACGTTTACCAGAGAGCAATGTGGGATTTATTCACTGGGTCGGTACTGAGAAGGCGCTGCTCATTTCCCCAAGGGTCGGTCCCACTAGTCTCATCATTCTTCCAGTTCGCAGTTCGGCCCTCTGGCAGATGATCCACCTATTAAACATGTTATTTTCCACTTCGCAAGCTGATTCCCAGAGAGTTACTGGAACCTATCCAGTTATAGATGATTTTCCCACTCAAATCTCCATTTTGAGTGGATGTTCCTATATTTTCCCACACTTTCAACCGTGATTTCTAGGGGATTTCCCCTAGATGTTTTCCCATGCGCCGAGAGGCTTGACCCTCTGGAGCGTGTCCTCAACTTTCACCACAGCATCGGCTCCCACCGGGACGGCCGAACCAGTGGTGATATATCGAATATGACCTCCGGGCAAGGCCGTAACCTGCAACAAATATCACTTCTCAGTGCTATATATATATATATTATAAACTTATGTGTAAGCATACACATATGTATGCATACAAGTAGATATGTATAGGTATACCTATATGATATACTGTATATACACAGATTTCTAGAATATGTCTAGATATATATATATATATATATATATGTAGAAAAACTGTATGGCAAAAAACATGACACCACTGAAGCAATATTTGGCCAGATTGGGCAAACAGGGAAACACAAGAATACCATGAAGTCAAGAAGAACACAAGAAACATCGCCTAGAGCTTGGGGATCAGGATGGCAATCAGCATACATCAAACATTCAAAGAACAAACAAAGTCATGGTTAGCAACTTGGATGTACGTCCAACTTAGTGTGTGGCTCACAACCCCATTTCTAGCATATCATAACTCGGATCCCGCCTGGCTGAAGTGGTCCCACGTCATTGCCGGCGAATTGCTCCGCATCCACTGGGAAGGTTCCAAGGCCATCGCTGGAGCGCACAGCAAAACCATCCATGATGGAAGCCTGGAAGGCTTGGAAGGTCGCCATCAGCAGGTTGGATGGTTTGTGCCCCAGCCAGGTGGAGTTGCCAAGCACCATTTTCATTGGGAAAAGATGGGACATATATGGAATATCGTCCTTTCAGAAGTGGCTCTACGACTCATGGTATGTTTTGAATGGTTAACTCGTGTTTGCAAGGTTTGGTTCAAGAGCCCCACGCATCGCTCTTAACCATTTGCCTTAGCGGGTCTGCCACGGGACCTGCGGGCACCGCCATTTGGGTGGCTGCCTTTGCTGACGTGGACTACATCCCTGTGATTGCCATCACTATCGGGCTTTGGTGGCTGCATTGCGATTGGTGGAACTTTACTTTATGCTGGTTGTGCTCTTTGTGATCCTCTCTGTCTTGATCTACGGTGGGGACAATTACGCCGACGTGCAGGAGGCGTTGGAGACGACAAAGAGCATCGGCGAGAAGACAGTGGTTTTTGCATCGTTCTGGGCTGGTTGTGTTGCCTGCGGTGAAGCTGAAGCAGCTTCGTCAACGTCTTGCGGCACATCACTCAAAAGATCCACAACTGCTGCGTTCCATCAACAACGCCATGACAGCTGCTCCATGGTTCTGCCCGTGTGGGCGCAAAAACAGGAAGAATGCCTGGCACTGTGGGGACTGCAAAGCCTCGTGGACCTATGGGACCCCGGACTTTGGACAGCAAGCCCAGTCAGGACGTGCTCAATCGCCTCGGAGGCAACAAGGCAATCAGGCGTATTCGCAACAGTGGCAGTGGCCTCAAGAACCATGGGTGGATTCGACGACATATGGTCGAGCTCAGAGTCCTCGTCAGCGACAAGGACAAGGGCGAAAGAAGTCCCGCAAGGGAAAAAAGGCTGCTCAGCAGGCAATGGAGCAGATGGCCCAGCCTTTTCCTCAGCAGCCTCCTCTTCCGCCACCCCTCACACCGCCTCCGGGATCGGGTTCTACGCCTGCGCCAGTGGCTCCCAATCTTGCTCAACCCACGACGACCACTTCGTCTGGGCCGGCGTTGACACCGCCACCCGAGGAGATTGTGAAATATCGAGCCCTCGTGCAGAAGCTGCAGAAACATCAAGATCAAGGAGGCGAACTTCCAGACGATATTCAAACCGATCTGAAGGATGCCATTGCGAAAGTTGCCAAGCACGACAAGAAGACTATGCACCAAGCGGTGAACGCTATGGACAATGCTCGACAAGATTACGACAAGGCAGTCCAAGCTCGAGCTCAGCTGCATTCTCAGTGGAGATCTTTTCTTGCCGAGAGCCTCAAGCTTTGGCAAGGACACACAGCCAGCTTCCAAACACAGGAAGCCCAGCTGACCGAGAAGATTCAGCAAGCCAAGGAGGCATTTGTGGTGGCGCGGGACATCATGAATGCCAGCAAGCTCGAGGCGGCGAACATGGTGCCGGTCGACGAGAAGGCTGGCACGGTTGTGGTCTCCGACGAGGAGGAGCTGAGAGATGTTCCTATGGCAGCTGCTCACCGTATTGCAACGGGTCTGACCAGTTTGGTCGAGACAATGTCTCAGTTGCAAACTCAGACAGAGGAATTGGTGCAAGAAGAACAACGTGCCAAAAGACAACGAGTCAATGCCGACAAGGTCGACTCAGGCATGACAGATGGAGATCAGTCTGCGCTGCCGTCTTTTGGTGGGCCCGGTGGTCAGTGACAAATGCGTACAACCACCCAGGGCAGTTGCAAACGGTCGATGTTGCGACCGATTTTGACTTTGTTGTTCAGAAATGGAACCACTCTATCATGAATGAGGGATGCTTCATGTCAGAATGGAAGGCCATTGAATCGGCTCATGCACTTGCTTTCAAGTTGCAATGCCCCATGCCGCATGTGAGAAAGGTGAAGACTCCATTGAAGAGTGGCACGTCACATCGAACAAGACCGTTTCATGTTCGCTTTGATGATGCGGTGGAGGTTTTCAGTGGTCACGAGTTGCACAGACTCGTTGTTCCCCATCGAGCGTTGTATGAATGGCCTGGTAAGCCATGGGCGCTTGTGGATGATTGCACGGAATTGACGCCTGAAGTTCTGAAACTTCAAGCTCGAAGGCCGCATGTTCCCGTTGCATGGCCTGTTTTGCCTTGGATCAAAGCTCCTGGTGATGCCAGTTGTGATCGCTTTGCTCCAATGGCCAAGTATAGTATCATGGATGGTTTTCAGCATTTTCACCAAATTCCTGCAGATCATGCTGACCCTCCACATGCACCTCATGCACATGGGCCTGGAAATCCTGCAAGTGCACAAGACTTTACTGACAGTATGATCTCAGCTCTAGACCCCCTTTGGATGAGTCCTACAGCTTTGATGTCGGATGGGCTACGTGTACGTACATGGTACCTACATCATGAGACAAGGTTGCACAATGACCAGTATCGTATTGTCCGTCTTCCTCCTGAACGAGCGAATTGGGTGGATTATTTGACGGACGCCTGGAGTGATCTGTTGGATGACTCCGTGCCGACAGCCTTCACACTTCCAAATCCAATGCCAATGAGAGGTCCTGCAGATCAACTCATTGCTCTGGACGTGATTTTGGCGCAAGGTCTTCATCAACCCCGATTTTCTGGTCTTGTGACAGTACAGTACATGGATGACCATGATGGGCTTGGTGAGCACCCGGTAGCAGCTTCATTTCCGCCTATGGTGAATCGATACCATATTCTGGAGGCAGCCCAAGTTCTGCAGACTTGTCAAGGACCCTATGGCCGAGTATGTCATATTTTTCATGGATGGCGTATGTTGCCAAGTGGAGGTGATGCCACCCATCGGATGCGGCCTGGGCATTCCTTTACAATTCAAATTCCAAATGATCCAAACTTGGAAAGTGCGGCTGCTCATGCTGGTGAAGTCTCGACCTCTGGCGTTTCAGCACATGGCATGCCAACCGGTCACAGTGAGGACTTCTTTGTGACAGGACCTGGTGATGGAGATCAGGATCCACCTGAAGATGACCCGCCTTCGGCATCTCCTCCATCTGCTGAGCCTGATCATTCTGCTGGACCATTGTTCAACTGTCATTTTTATCGGCTTCGGCATCCACCGTTGCATATGTTCATGCGTAATGCTGCAGGTGTGCCCATGCTGATGGAGCTTGCACGAAATCTGGAAATCGTCCCGGCCAGTCTCCTGCAAGCTCACAAGATTTTGACCCAGATGGTGGGAGATCAACGAGATGACTTTTCTTTCATCATCCAATCGGTGACGGACATTCCAACGGCTTCCTCGGATGCGCTTGTCATCATTGACGTGGAAGTGCATTTTCATTTGACATCAGCTGGCATTCACCCGTTGCCCGCTGCTACCAGAAGAGTTCATCGTGTTCCTCGACATCTTGGACGTGAAGGTGTACTCCACTATGCAGGAGTACGGCAATATTGCTCATGGCAAAATGATGCATGTTTGGTGGAGCTCAATGGTCGTGTTTGGCCGGCTCATCAGGCAGCACCTCAGGTCATGCAGCATGGTGCATATTTGCGAGTCTGTGTTCCGCCGCCTGACTCCCAGATGAATACGTTGCAGGCGATTCATGTCACTGAGCGTCAGGGAAGCACAGTTCAGCCTCTTACTTCTGGGCCTTCAGTTGCTCCTTTTCCTGCTCCGCTACCATTTACCTCAACATCCACTACCACGGTGCCCGAAGACACTACGCTCAGAGTCTTCCCGGTGCCCATGGACAACCACTGGTTTGAGCCGCTTGATGACACCTTTGAGGCAGAAGCGATGCAGGAATTTCTGGAAGAAGGACCCATCCTCTATGTCTGGACTTGGTACGTGCATCATGAATTGCATCCAGAATGTAATGCACCACGGGTGGTCAAATTGGACAGCTTTAAGCACTTATGGGGACAAGATTTGCTTACGCCTTGGCAGTCGACTCTTCATGGAACGGATCCCTTGCAAATCAAGATTGATGGTCATCGACCTCCTCATGCGACCACTACATTGGACGCAGTGCATGTCATGATTGAACAGAAGCCACGTGAAGCGCAAGCTGCAGTTGTCTTGTCTGCGGTAATGCAAGGGGATCATGAAGATCATCTTCTACAAGCTGCTTATTCTGTCCCTCGTTGGCTGTGTACTGAGGATATCATTGACATCCTTCGCATCAATCATGTCTGTGAAACAAGGCGGTGTTCTGCCCGCTCTGGTGTGGCACATTTTGAGCGTTTTATTCGTCACGATGTCCCAGATGCAGCGAGTATTGAACTTCATGTCAGACTACCTCATTGTCATGGAGACCGTCAGGCTGCAAGTTCCTCGGAACCATTTGTTCCAAGACGTGTCATGCCAACCACAGCCAACTCCCTGCTCCAACTTCGACTTGTACGACATGATGTCCGCTCTCGTCGTGCTGAAGTACATGAGGATGCATGTTTGGTGAAACAAGTTACACTGATCGACACGAGTTCTTCTACCATGCCTTTGGGTTCCATGACAGAACAGCCAGCAGCGCTGCATTGTCCAGCTGTAGCACATCCTGGGGGTGATGGCCCTGTTGACAAAGTTGATGGAGATCATGAACGTGTCCAGCACGAAATGCAGCATATCGCGGCCATTCGCACCCGTGCTGTTCCGGTTCCTCCAGGGCAACCACAGATGATCCATGATTTGCACATGCTGCTATTTAGCAATGAGCAAGAGTTGCAGGAGCGCCCTCCTGAGGCTTTTGTCATCTCCACATGGTATGCCGATCACCTCCGACGACCTCATAGTGGAATATGTCGAGACGTGCGTCTTACTGGCGATGTTGGCACCTGGTATCATGAGATCGTCATGATTTGGGACGATTGGATGGATCCCTTTGCAGAGTTGACTGGAGTGATTGTTCACCCTACCCCGCATGATGGGCAGGCTGAAGTTCATGCACATCTTGTCTTGGTACAACATGTGCAGCCAACCATGTGCTCGATTGTTGTTGCCATTGTTGACACCTTGGATGACCCGTGGCATCCACGGTTGCTATGTTTGACCACGCCATGTGACCTATCGCATGCACAGCTGAGAAGTTACATTGACTTGGACGGCATTTGTGGCACAGTTCCACCCAGAGCACTCTGTCGAACGTTGTTGGGCGATCGTGATCTCACTGATCTACCACGATTTGATGTCACGCATGGCATGCATTTGATTTTTCATATCCAGCGTGAGGTACAGCTTCAGGCCACTACTGCTTTGGAAACAGCACATGTAGCGGTTCTTGACTCAGAAGATGATGAGCACATGAACCTGCTTCAACACACTGCTCAGCGGAAAGTGATCAACCTCGAAGCGAATATTCCAGCACCTCGCTTTACCACTGTTGATTGCCAACGTGTTTTGTTCCTGCGTGAGCAACTACGATTGGGACTTGGATTGCGGCCTTCAGTTGATCTGCGTCAGGTTTGGTGGCATGAGGCCACATGGCAACAACTTGGTGCTGTGCCCCTTTGGCAAGATGAAAAAGTTCTCGGTGCAACCTTTTACACTGATGGATCTGCGTGGCGCTCCAGTGGCCGTGCAGCTGCAGGTGTCTTTTTGATCGTCCATACCGAAGATGGCATGCGACATGGTGGATTTATGAGTGCTCCTTGCCTTGGTTCTGCTACAGCACCAAGAGCGGAGGCTACTGCTCTAGTGTTAGCCGCATTATGGATCCACCAGCTTGCAGCCTCACTTCCAGCAGTTCAACCCTGGTTCGAGATTGCGTTTGACTGTGTGCATACCGCCAATATTGCACAAGGATGTCAAGCTGCACATTGTAACTCTGATGTTCACATTGTGCTGCGATCTTTGATCCACTGGCTTGAGGTTGTCCTTCCGTGGCCAATCTATTGGACACACATCCAAAGTCATCAAAGTCATCCTTGGAATGAGGCTGCTGACACAGTTTGTCGACATGCGCTGCAGCACCATTCTTTTACCACCTCTCTTGTGGAGTGGTTTGACATGTACACGTTCCAGGGCAATGATACATGTGCTTGTCAATGGCTTTGGTTGATCGAGAAATCTGTGCGGCATCATGAAGATGCACCTACCCTAGTGGGAACGCACTGGAGATTCAATGTGGAGCAACCGTTTCAGATGCCTCCGTCTGATGATTTTCATCCTGCGATGTTGCGTCGTTTCCAAGCTTTGCCAGACAGTCCTGAAAGTCACCCTGTTCGGTTGCGTTTTGCAACGGCCAATGTCATGACCATGTTTCCTGGACAAGACTTTGCTTCGGGTTATTTGGGTGCTCGTGCTGAAGCCTTAGCTGCTCAGTTCATGAATGAACGTCTTCATGTCATTGGTCTTCAGGAGACTCGTGCTCGCATGACCGGGCACTCGTTCTTTCAACAGTTTCACGTTCTTTCTGGCCCAGCGACTGCACGTGGACAAGGTGGAGTTCAACTCTGGTTGCGCAAATCCATCCCCACATTTGGTGGAACCATTGATATCGATACGACTGATCTTCGTATCTTGCATGCCACCTCGCGCCGTCTGTTGGTCCGATGGGCACATCCTGGATGCAAACTTCTCTTCTTAGTGGTGCATGCTCCTTCGGATGATGAAGAGGACGTCCTGCAGACGTTTTGGGACGCCACGACTGCAGCAATACCTGCTGCCTATCGTCAATGGCCAATGGTTCTGCTGACTGATGCCAACAGTCGAGTTGGCAGTGTGACATCTCCCTGCATTGGTCCACATCAAGCTGATGATGAGAACAACAAAGGTGCTCAATTTCACACGTGGCTCGCCAACCATGATCTTTTTCTGCCTCAGACCTTTGCGGAGTGTCATGATGGACCGGCTCCCACTTGGACACATCCCAAAGGCACATCAGCTCGTTTGGACTATATTGCAGTTTCCAACAACTTTCCACATGATGGCGTGTCTACCTGGGTTAGCACACACATTGATTTGGCTCTTCATCGCCGTGATCATGATTGTGTTTGTGCTGAGCTTCAGCTTGAGTTCTTCCCAGCTGACCGAAGACCTCGTCACACCCGTGGAAGCAAGGTGCAGGATGCCCCACTGGAGGTCACATGGGCGACTGATGTTCACACGCATGCTGCACGATTGCAACATTGGATCAAGCAGTGGAACCCAAAACCCAGAATTTGGCGCAAGCGTCATCTCTCTGATGATACCAAGCAATTGATTGATGCAAAGAGGCACCATTGGAAATGTCTCAATGCTGCACGCCGTCATCATTCTCGTGGTCTGCTTCGAGAGCTCTTTGCTGCATGGCGTCAACCCCATCAGGTGACCCGATCTTTTCAAGGATGGAGACGTGACTGTGACCGTGCGTACGCATGGCATCTTTGGGCATATGAAGATCTGGCACCAAGAGTCGTGCAGGCTGTTCGCACAGATGACTGCATGTTTTACGAAAGCTTGGCTGCGCAAGCAGGATATGAGTCCTCCAAGAATGCACAGTCACTCTGGAAAACCTTGCAGCCTTTACTTCCCAGGTGGAGAAGTAAGAGAAAATCCAATCTCAGATGTACCGGCCCGTCCTTGGAAGACCAATTTGCACATTACGATGCATTGGAAGCTGGACACTGCGTGCCGTATGGCGAACTTCTTCAACAATGCCATGCCGCCCAACACCAGGCTTTGGATGATATTCCTCTGCAAATTTGTTTGGAAGCTTTACCCTCACGTTTTGCCGTGGAAACATTGGGCTGCCGCATCAAGACAGGCAAGGCATCAGGCATGGACTTAGTTTCGCCAGTGGCATTGCAGCATGCTTGCCGCCAACATTCTGACATTCTCCACGCCTTCATGATGAAGGTGTGGATCTTGGGCGCAGAACCCATTCAGGGGAAGGGAGGAATCCTCCACCCGATTGCCAAGAAAGAAGTGAGTCAGAAAATCGATGGCATGAGAGGGATCATGTTGATCGATGGCATTGGTAAGTTGGTCCACTCGCATCTGCGTGGCCAATTCCTACCGGCCTTGGAGCATTTCCGGCTGCCGCTTCAATTGGGTGGCTTTAGACGGAGTTCCACGTTGTTTGGCACCATGTATGTGCGTGCCTTCACTCAGCTTGCGGCGCAGCATGTGGTTTCCTCTGCCATCATCTTCGTGGACATCCGAAGTGCGTTTCACTCCATGGTCCGGCAGTTGATATTTGGTGGCGCTGACACCCTGCATCCCAAACTGCAACAAGTCTTGACCGACAATGGCATTGACTTGACCGTGCTGGGTGCCAAATTGGCAAAGGAGCCTCCCATTGATTCAGCCCCGCTTCTTCAGCCAGCAGCGAGACTCATTCGGGATGGGCATTGTTTTACTTGGTATGCGCTTGGTGCTTCTGATGCCGTTCATCAAACAGAACGTGGAAGTCGACCTGGCAGCCCCTTAGCAGATGTTGCTTTCAACAGCCTCATGGCAGTTGTCTTGCAAGACTTTCAGACCCATTTGGATCAGTTCTTGCCGATACAAGCTGCATTCTCACATTTGGGACTTCGGGCAGCTCCGGTTGCCTGGGTTGATGATCTTGCCGTACCGGTTGCTGCACTCAAGGCCAATGATCTGGTTTCGACCATCGCTTGGACTTTACAAACCACGATTGAGGTTTGCGCATCCTATGGCCTGACTCTCAATTTGAAGCCCCGCAAAACGGAAGTGGTGTTGGCCTTTCGTGGTCCTGATGCGCCTGCATGTCGTCGTGAATGTTTGGTCGCCAATTTTGCTCGCATTTCTGTTCCTCCTTTGGGACAACATGTTCGATGCGTGCCTGTGTATGAGCACCTTGGCACCTGTTTTCAAGCAGATGGAAGCATTGATGCTGAGATCAGATATCGGGTGAGCCGTGCTGGCTTAGCTTATCGCCAGATTACCAAGTTGATCTTGCGCAACAGGTACATTGGTGTTAATGTGCGTCTTCGTCTTCTTGATGCACTTCTCATGCCTGTGCTTTTGCACGGTGCTGGGAATTGGCCACTGCTCACTGCCCAACAGGTCCAACGGCTTCATACACCATATTTGAAATGGATCCGTACGGTCGTGGGCAATGGCTTCTGGGCGCACAATCAATTGTCGGATGTTCATCTATTGATGAGTTGGCAGATGCCATCGATTGAACTACGTCTGGCGAAGCATCGTCTTCTTTTTGCATTCCATCTTTTCATTGATGCCCCGACTCAGATCATTGAAATGGTTACAGCCCCTGATGAGGCATCCTGCTCTTGGTGGAAGGCACTACGACAGGCGCTTACATGGCTCATCTCCATGGATGCCACACTCATTGCGTTTGATCCCATGACGGCCTCTCGAGCCATTTTGCTTCAATGGTTTGCTGATCGACGTGACGATGGTCCTCGTTTTGTTCGCCGACTCTACAAGAGAGCATTGCTGCAAAACAAGGTCATTGGCGATGCTGTGACGGCACATCAAACTTTGCATCATCAGCTGCTGCAAGGAGGAGTTACTTTTGCTCTGGATGATCCGGCATCGGTGGTAACCACCCCCAATTATGAATGCCGATGGTGCGCAAAGACCTTTCTTTCGGTCCGTCAATGGCAAAATCACCTCTGGAGTGCACATGGTGAGCCTAGCGAGGAAAGGAAATTCATGACCTCCACAGTATGCCCGGCTTGTTGGACATGTTGTTGGACGGTGAATCGACTGCAAATCCATCTTCATCAGAGCCGACGACATCGGAATGGATGTTATGAAAGACTCACTTGGATGCACGAACCTTTGGAGGTTATTGCACCTATTGTTGAAACCAAACAGGATGATAGACACTTGCGAATGCCTGCCACCGTTATTCCTCATGTGCTCTCGCAGATGGAGACTCAATGTGAGACTCGAGTGGATGCGGATGCCCGGTGGCTGCAGGCGTGCCGCAATGAGGGTTTGATTGACCCGATCGACGATGCTTGGGTGCACAACTGCAAGATGGCCTTTGATGCTGTTCTTCGTGATCCATCCTTGCAGACATGTGTTGATCCTGATCCTATCCTTTGGCGCTTGACAAACTTGGCGGATGGTCATGGCCTTCCTCCAGCGGCTGAGGGTCTTGGCGCGTGGGCTCTTGCTGTTTGGATGTATGATGACCTTCGTTTTTCTCGATTTGCTCATCTCTCGGTGGACTTTTTTGGACGCTGTTTGGAGGCCATCAGTCAAATTGTTTGTCAGTCACCCGTTGGTAAGCTGGTATGCTGGCGACGCCGCATGGATGGTGCCTTTTGCCCACAGAACATTGTCGAGAAGGATGCGCAAGATTTGGTCACCGTGCGTGTGCGGGAGGTCATCTTGGATCCTATTCGCGATCAGCACTCTTTGCTTTGCTCTATCCTTCAACGTCCTCTACATGTACCTCTTTGCCGAGGAGTACCTGTATGTCGAGAAGGAGATCAGCGGATCATTTAGATTTTCCACCTCTTTAGTGGGCGCAGAAGGGTGGGAGATTGTCATTGGTGGCTTGAGCACATTGGGCATCATTTGTGGCCGGGAGTCACCATTCGTATGGTCTCCCTGGATACCGCTGTCCATCCGGAGCTGGGTAACCTGGCCAATGGTGAGAACTATGACTACGTTCGACGTTTTGCACATGGTGGCCATATTGCAGGTGTTCTTGCTGGTCCACCGTGTGAGACATGGTCGGCCGCGCGGCACATCCAGCTGGATGATGGCGCTGGGCCGAGGCCGCTGAGATCGGCTGATCTTCCATGGAGCCTGCCTGAACGCACAGGGCAGGAATTGAAGCAGAGCTCTATGGGCACACAATTGTTGATGAATACCTGGACCATTGAAGTGGCGGTGGTCACCAATGGAGGTGGTGCGATCATGGAGCACCCTTGGGAACATCAACAACAGCCTGATTCACAAGATGAGCGTGCCTCCGTCTGGCGCACACAGGCTCATCAGCAATGGCTTATGGCCCTGCCGGATGCGGTCCGACACTATGTGGAGCAGTATGAGTACGGAGCGGCCGGAGTTAAGCCTACTTGCTTGCGGGCATTGAATTTGGGTGCTGCACCAGTGGTGGCTACGGCGCTACGTGAAGGAGCAGAGACGTGGCGCACTCGCCCTACGGCCGCGCTTGCCGGGCGCAATGAGCGTGGCCTCTTTCGGACAGCCGCTGCCAAGGAATACCCCAGCGCGCTGTGCCGTAGCATGGTAGTGGCACTCATTCGTGGGCTTAAAGCCCGTGCCCATTTTGAAGGGTGGCGTGAACCCGCTGCCTGCACTGCCAAGGACAAGACTTGGCTTGCTGATGCATGGAGTGCGTCGGCAAAGGTCACGCGATGGTCGTTCCTGCCAGACTATCAAGGGGCCTGATTTGAATTCAATCCAGCGAGACCGCACGAGGATTCCTCACGCCGGCAGAATGGAAAAAAACTCGTGTTTGCCTGAGTTGTTATATGCTATATGAGTGAACAAATATTCCATTCACATGACAGTAAAACAAACATTATACCAGTTATATGTCATTAATCCCCAAGATTAAGCCATGGTCATGATATGATATTATAGTTTTAAGGCCATCTCCAGCTTGCTTTCGCGTGGATTCGTTCGGAAAATTTCCGGAGATCACTCCGTTGAACTAGACAGAAAGGAGCAGAAGGGACAAGTTCTACTTTGTTTGGAAAAGGAACAACATATTGGAACTCAACAGCAGGAAATGAATGAAAGGTAGGAACGAGAGTGTAAAGATCACCTGAGAAACTGGGGATGTTTCAGCAAAAAAAAGAGTACGAATTATATAAACCAGTCACTGTCAACCATTCGGATTTCAACACGCCCAAAGTCATTTGCCAAGAATGTCTGGACTTAAAGTCATGCACAACTTGATAATAAGTTTCAGTCTGGCAATGCCCCTTTGTGGGACAGGCCCAAGTTGGGCCCAAATCTGGCGCAGACTAATTATTGAATATTATTGAAAGCAGAACATTGCACAATGATGCAGTAGTTTGACATGCTACAGCCCTGAACCTCCACACAGTCCACACAAACTCACACGCACAAACATTTGAAGATCTCTAAATAACAATAAATATAATATTATACCCAATTTTACACACCTAGACCACCAATGTACCTATCAGAATCGATATATATATATATATATGTCATACGGCCCTCTCGAAATTTAACAAAGCTATGGAACATCACTTTTCCCAATTGGTAAACTACCTATAAATGAATCGTTTTCCATATGTTTTTTTCGGTTGCCAAAAAGTAGTCCTTTTTGCCAATCTTTTCCAATCCCCCTCCCCTGGTTATCTGCCCTATCTGCCGGGGCCAACCTTATCACCAACATCACTGGTATCCACCGTGGTCGTAAAAAATAAAAGGGTGAATTTGTTGAGGGGAAGGTGCCAAACCATGGTATTTTACAACCCTGGAAAGCTCCCTCAGAAATTCCATTGCAGCAAGGTTCGGTTTCTGGGTAGCCGCGCCAGGTCTTCAAAGACCAGGGGCAGGAGTTCGCACAGGTCATATGCGGTTTTCTTTTTGATCTATGCGTATCCAATGGACATATCTAGACTAAAGTCTGGCATCTGGAGGACCCCCCCCACTCCTCATTTGGAAGCCCAAAAAACATGTGGAGGGTGGTATATTTCATGTGGTCAGGTGAAATATTTCTTTGTTTTTTTTTGTCTTATCCCCCACAAATATTCCAGGGTTAAAGGGAGGGGGATCTTTTCGACTTTTCATGGGTCAGGACAACAAACAAAACCTAGCCTTTGGGGACACGAATCCATCCCACACATGGTGCTTCATCGTGATATCACCATTCCTTGCGATCTCTCACGTGCTCCCGAAGATTTTGCCGCCAAGTATCTGGAAAGGCAGGAATCGGTGCTGCTGAAACCACATCCTCTGCCAAGTAGCGCCTTCATGGCCAGACTCTAAATAATGCTGCATAGGGTGTGTGGAAACGCATGTCAAATAATCATCAGGGTATACGATTGTGGTCCTTCGATAATATTATATATGTGTATACTAATACAGTGTACGGTATATATATATGTTAATATGTGTACATATGTGTATATACGTGTATATATATATATTAATGTATATATATATTAATATATATATACATTAATATATATATATATACATTATCATAAATTGATGATATAGTGTATTGATTCATCTTTGGATTTGACGAAGAGCATTTTGAAACATCCAGGGCATTTTCAGAACCAAGCAGCTCCCATCCCCCAATCATGCTCAACACCCCAATAAGTGTCCAAAAAATGAATAGATCTACAGTAGACTACGTACATAATGTATATAGAGTTTTCCAAATAATAGGAGGAAGGGGATTTCCCACAATGCCTCGATACCCTCTATACCTATCATGTGGAGAGACTCCATTCGTAGCTCCTGTGTTCAGCATTGAATAGGGAATATTTCCATCCCCATAGCTCCGAACCGCTCCCTCTTTAACCAGTAAATAGGGCCACTTTTCCTTGCGATTTGCCTATTTATTTGCTGCATTTTGGAGCCAACAAATCTCTTGTCCATTGTGTTCATCGATATTTCCATGGTTCTCATCCATTTTTCCCTCTAAAGAAAATCCCACATGAAATGACCCTCCGCTGAAGAGTTCCCCTCAAAACCCCCATGTCCATGTCCGAACTCGTGTCAAGTGGCCCAAGGGCATCTGCAAGCGCCAGCTCTTCCACACCCAAAGGGCCCAGAACTTGCTTCGCAACCGTTGCTACCTAACTGGACTGATCCAAGGCAGTGGACCCCATTTTTCTTCCTTGTCCAATGGGCATTAAACATCATTAAACATCATTAAACAGCTGTAGCTATTCCTCAAAAAGAATGTGTTGGTACCTATCATTTTTGAACATCGGGATGCGGGATTCCAAAACTCCAACCAGTGGAAGCGATTTCACTCATGGGAAAGGTTTATTCAATGCGTTCCATGAAGACATAAAAAGAACATCCATGAATCATGAATTTCCTCCTTAAGCTGATCCAAAAAAGGCGATCCAAAATTTCATCTGTCTGCTATCTGACTGATCAGAGTGAACAAGTACTTAAGATAGATACGCATAGGCGAATGGCCTTTCTGAGTGTGCTTGGGCGATCACTGGAATCATACCTCTTCCAAAAGATCAGGTGCGCGGTGACCGGTGGTGACCGTTGAAGTGGAGAAAACATATGCCGATTCCGGACCGTTTCTCCACATGCTGATGGAAACAAAACGGCTTTGGGTCAATCAAATGATTCTAATACCCTATGGTTGTTCAACATAGCTATGGAAAATCACTATGCTATAGCTGTGTAAATGTAAGTAACTCATCCAGAAATGGAGCATTTTACCACTATCCATGTTTGGTATTATCCTCTGGTAATTTAACATAGCTATTGAAAATCACCATAGAAATAGTGAATTTTCCCATGAAAAATGGTGGATCTTTCCATAGTTATGTTAAATTATCAGAGGGTATCCCACATGAGTTTTGGAATCTTCCGCCACCATGGACCCTCAAGGATTTCCAACAATGATGGTGACCTTCAGTGGTACCACTTCTTGCGGGCTTGTGAAGCGTGGACGTTGAAAAACGTTTTATGAAATAGAAAATACCTTCCGGCAAATGAACAAAGCTATGGAGCATGGCCCATTTATAGATGAATTACGTTTTTTTGAACTGGTGATTGTGCATATGTTAAACAACCAGTAATCAATATATCACTGAATTAGCTCAAAAAACAGCTTAGTTGGCCATGTTCGGTTGCCACCGACTAAACTTGACTAAACGTTCACGGCTGCGGCACACATTCCTCAACTGAGAGCATAGTGAAAGGACTCTTCCCTTTGTATGGCGCAGCATCCGACATCGCCTGAGGCGACGTTCAGCTCGATGGTGCCAACCAGGGCTACCATGGTGATACCACGCCCGGAAAGGACACACACCTAGCTGCTTCGTTGCATAGCTACAAGATACCAACTGACCAAATGATACTGGAGATCATTTGTATTTTGAATAATATATGTCTCATAAAGATCTAAAGTAACAATTCTTAACCTCACAGGCAGAACCACAAACAAACACTGGTTCTCTAGAGCCCGAGTTGCGGATAGTTTTTCGGTAGAAACACAATTCGATGTCGCAAACACATGGTGAAACATCTCAGAAACTTAACAGTTTGGTATGAAGCATGTCCCATTTACTTCGATGATTTATCAAACATTGTGATATTTTAAATTACCATATAATATAGGTACTCTGATGATTCAGTATTCATCCATGTTTGTTGGTTATAGGCCATTACCCTCTGGTCAACTAACACAACTAATTATGGAAAATCAGCATTCTTTTATGGGTAAATCCTCTATTTCGATGGCCATTTTCAATAGCTTTCTGTTAACGTTGACCAGGTCGGGTAACCATTGTTGACCATAGATTTCTTAGGCTTTAGCTCCACGAGATCAACGTGACAACAAACATCACCCCGCCAGGCCCGCCACACGAGTTCAATCGGCATCCAACCGCAGAGAACTTGAGGATTTCAGGGACGCCGTGCTGCACGTGCTTGAGCCCGAAGGCCCGAAGGCTGCATGGCAGATGGAAATAGGTTCATTTCCCAAAAAAAAAAGGCAAACGTACGGTAAACCCAAGGTCAGAAACCATCCTCCTACATCCCCACATTTATTGGGTGGTATTTATACCCCAGTCAGGATAGTTTATGGCAGGGTTTCCCTACCAGAATAATGTGGAATAACATCGAAGAATTCGACCCACAGAGGTTTACAAAGGCCAAGAGCTTCGGTTACCATCAATGCAATGCATAGTTTCTCACCAAGTGCATGCCTCTCACATTCCATCTTTGTATGGGACATGTTCCTACAAGAATGGCTTATTTTCAGGCTAACTAATATCTATCTATAATATATATATATATTATATGTATTATATACACACACACTATGGGTTAAAAGAAAAAACATTGAACACCGTCAGCAACCCAGGTTTGGTCATCTGTTCATGTCGGGTGCCAAACCTGGTGGCATTTATGTGGCAAGGTCATGACATGAGGTCGTCATTCGAAATTCATCCAGTCCCAAATCCCTCGTTTTTGTTAGTCATATCATATCTCCGCTGTATTCCGTTACATGGTTGGTAAAACGTTTTTTTGTTGATGATTTCTGGCAGGAAGTACCTGGAGAAGGCCAATCTAAGAAGGCCTTGCAACGAATTCCATGCCGGCCACTCGCATTAGTATGAAGAAAAACACCTGGCATTGACAAACAAGTCCAACCCATTCCAACCCATCAGAAAGTGGCACCCGGAAGAACTGGTTCTTGGTGATGTGGCCACAATTGCTTCGGTCCATGTCCTGCAGGACTGCGCTTCTGAAGTGTCAGTCCGGTGAAATGTGGGCACAAGGACTGCAGAGTTTCGTGCAAGAGTGACATTCCAATTCTAGGGGTGCCCAATTCTGACCATCCCCGAAGGTAGTGAGTTCAATGAAGGCTAAACATTGAAGACGCAAACAGGCTACACATTTCTGTCGCACAATCCCACCCAAGAAATATCACAAATGTTTGGCATGGACATTTTGAAATGCAACACCTGCAGGCAGTGCATTCAGACTGACAAACCCACTTGTAACTGGACTTTAATTCCTGTCACTGTGGGAGGTGCACAACATTAGAACACATGTAAAAGCAAACAAACAATATCATACTCAAAACCCATTCACCAAACATTCACATTCAGGTCCTCTGGGATGTGTGCATTCTGCAGTGAATTTTCTGGACCCTTAAGACTGGTCATTGTCAAGTTATATCGCTAAAGGTTCAGAAAATTCACCAACTAAATAGGATTTTCCATCACAAACCATACAGCTTTAACAGGGTACCCTCATTGATGGAAACCACCAATTGGAGATAGTTCTCCCATTATCCTGTTATCCAATTTCCATCATTCCAGTGACGAAAAAAAAGACCGTCGCGGTCGTCGGACGATGACTCGACATGACTCTCCAGATAGTTGGATCATGAAAAAAGTATCAGAATCATTCATCACTTCCCCTCACATATGTATATATATATATACATATACATCCATTACATTACATTACATTACATTGCATTACATTGCATTACATTACATTACATTACATTACATTACATACATATATTTATACATATAATTATATATATATGATATGTATACTGTATATGTATATGCAGAATATAAATGATCATATATAATGATGTTATTATATGTTCATGTGTATACAAATACGTATATATATATATATAATCATATAGTTACTGTGTATATGTACGTATATATATATATATCCATATAAAACTAATGGTCCCAAATATCTGGAAATTCCCTGAAATCACGAGGGATGGGATCAACCAACATTCTCCCGTCCTTGAAGGATGGCAGGAGATTCACGCGATGCTTCTGCGGAGAGTGGGCGGCTCCGGACGAGTGGCGTGCCATATCCTAACGGGTTACCTACTGTAGGAAACCAGAACCATCCATAACCTATAGAAGTACATTGTATGAATGTATATATATATATATACTGTATATATATATATACTGTATATATGTATATATATTTATTTATTTGTTTATTTACAGTATCTATATAACTGGCTTACAATGTGGTTGATACCTACTTAGGAACGGGGATGCACATCCAAGCAACCAGTATCTGCAGTATTTCACGGCAGGAGATCGGAAGAAGCACTGCAGAAGAGAAAAAAGTGACTCCTGCGTCTTGCTCTGGCAAAAACTTCTTATTGCTATCTTCATCTGACTTCAAATTACCAACTAGATCCAACTAGCAGTGATAGATTTTTAGCCAAACTACAAACAACCTGTTCACGGCCGCTTAAGTCGCGGCAATCAGCAGGTCTTTCTGTGCGAAAAACAACCGTGGGCCCGTTGGTCTCTCGTTTGGGGCGCCTGCACTTTGGATCTGATCTTGCTCTCCAACCATTCCCATTGAGTCAACCTGTGCAGATGCAATGCAGGTGCGCTGGAAATAGGATAATGTCAACCCCGGATTTTGCTAAACCATGGTTTATTCATTAGGGTGGTACTCCTCCAATAGTCACAATCCAATAATTTTCAATAGTTTTCAGGTTCATTGAGGATCTGCCACACTGGGTGAAGCCGGTGAAGCCCATACAAAGTTCTATTATGGATTGTGAACATTCCTACTAAACCTCCTCTTGTCCAAGGTTTTCATAGGGGGCCACTGATAGACCATTGCGGAGGTTTTTTTGGATCAAGCCACACGCTCAAATAGACTGAGTAAACAGTAGTTCGATTAGACCAGAACTCTTTTTGGATGGGGAAAACCACCGTGGTTCGCATCGCTCAAGCCTCTGCGCAATATCATTGAGACACCACCACTACACACAATCTCTTCACTCAAATCCCGAGCACAGTCAGCACAAATTTCTTGGTCAATGTCCAACTTTAAACCCAGAAAATACCTATTTAGTTTCTGTTTTGGGGTACTTATCAGAGACCAAAGATAAAGGACTTGGATACATATATCATGTATTGTCAAACTTACAGGCCACCGCCAGCTTGAGAGGAGCAGGTGTGTCACCACAGCTACCCAATCTACTCAATCCACCATGCAGAGGGATGGATTTAGGGTATCGGCATATGTAATCAAACCAATTTATACATTTGCCTTCCTGTATCATTTTTTGCATCCAATACTTCCAAATGGGATGCCCGCAATCCGTCCTTGCATGGAAGCTGATTGGGGCCCTTATTACATAGCTGACAGAGCTCAGGGAGTCAAAAAAAGCACTACAAGCCGAAACAACGGTTGTTTCTCACATAATCAGCCAAATTTTGCCAAAGAATTACGACATTCCCAAACATGGCTCTGAAGCTACAAAAATTGTTGTTCCTCTTTTGTCTTGTCGGACTGTCATGAATCCTAAAAAAGAGCAACCGCCTATACCAACGCCATTTGTTTGATATTCTCCATCAATGGACTGCATTTAACAGTGAAACAAAGACAGCCAAACAGCTGTGGTAATACACCAAGCCAGTCATCCACAAGCCAAAATCCTGACCGCCAAAGGTCAGTACTATCCAAACATTTCTTGGGAATTATTTTCCAAATATTTCACAGGATGCGACAGAATAAACTCTGTCAACAAAACTTCAGCAATTAGACGGTTGTGTTTTCGATACAGTGGATCACAGACATATCTCAAGACAAACGAAGGGGCCCCAAGAAATGTTACATAAACAACCTGTCAAAATTCAATGGCCATGTCAGGAACCTATTCATTGGAGGTACCTACTATATATAAGGCCTATTTTTCAGGCCTTAATTTCAGGGAACATCCCCTAATAAGATATGGTCTTACATGGTACTAACGTACCTCCATCTGTTGGATCCTGAGTCATTCCCATTGAAAATTACCAGGCCACGCAGCGCACCTCTCCGCAGACAGGCACACTTTGTTGCGCCTTTGTTGCTGACTGCCATTTTGGATCAGCCGTTTTTTATGGGGGAGATCCGATCCTGGCTGTTCAATGGATATTCAACACGGCTGTTCGATGGATCATCCAGCTAATCAACATTTAATCCATGGTAAAAAAAATGGATATCAATGGTTAATCTATGGTTAATCAATGGTTAATCAATTCTTACTAAACATTTAATCCATGGATAATCTATGGTCTATCGTTAATCGATGGACAAGGGAACTGGAAGCCATGGCCCATTTATAGCTGATTCTTAGCGACTTCAATGGGGACCGGATTGAGCATGGGATTGGTTCCAGGGGACATCTACAGGAAACCATGTTTTTTTTACCATAAAAAACAACTGAAGAGGTGTCGCAAGCCACATTTCCCTGAAACCAATCCAATGAATGATCCGGGATACCCAAAGTAAAATGTGATTAGCTTCTCATTGTCCATATTCACCCCGCTTCGCGTGGGGTGGCCGCCCACACCGCAGGTTTATTTCGGTCCGTGAGAGGGGCTAAGGGTGGTTTTCCCCCGTGGGGGCTCCCCAAGCTAAGAATTTTCACTTTCACCCCCCGTGGAGGCTCCCCAAGCTAGGGAATTTTCACTTTTCCCCCCGTGGGGGCTCCCCAAGCTAGGGAATTTTCACTTTTCCCCCCCGTGGGGGCTCCCCAAGCTAGGGCATTTTTACTTTTCCCCCCCCCGTGGGGGCTCCCCCCCGTGGGGGCTCCCCAAGCTAGGGAATTTTCACTTTTCCCCCCCGTGGGGGCTCCCCAAGCTAGGGAATTTTCAGTTTTCCCCCCCGTGCGGGCTTCCCAAGCTAGGGAATTTTCACTTTTCCCTCCCTTGGAGGCTCTCCAAGCTGCGGAATTTCAAATAGCTAGACAACGACGCCTAGATAGTCCCCCAAAGCCCGTGTTCTTTGAATGTGTTTCCATGTTTTTGCAATGGTTTCCTTCAAAGCACGGTACTTTACACTTTTGTCGCCATAAAACCGGTCGAAAACATCATGTTCGACAATGCTTCCAATTCCCTTATCTCCCCGACCGTTGAAAATACCGCTATTTACAGTGTTTTCTTCAATTTTTCCATGTTCCAATGCCGGTAGCCAGCTCAACATATATATAAGAAATCCTTCCAAAACATTGTTTTTGACAGTGCTTTTCCAATGTTTCCAGTCAAACAGACGGTAATTTACACGTTTTTTGCCATAAAGGCAGTAGATCCTTCCAAAACATTGCTTTTGACAGTGTTTTTGTAATGCTTCCAGTCAAGCATACGGTAATTTACACGTTTTTTGCTATAACGTCAGTCCAAAACACTTGTTTTTGCAGTGTTTTCAATGCTCTGGCATCCAAAAACCCTGCAAAATCTTGCTATGTACAATGTTTTTTTCATTTTTGGCCGTTTTTCCATTGCCGGAAAGCTACCAAAATGACCCAAAATTCCATTTCAATACCCTCTTGCGCTCAGACACCCAAAAATCCTCGAAAAATGTCGAAAACACCACCGTATTCTGGTCTCGGTGCGAAACCGTTTTTGGCCCCCCCCCAGCTAAAGCTGATATAGCGACTGCTATATTAACAAATGTCATTGAGCATTTAGTGTTGCTGTTTTGCCCCCCAATAAGCACGCCTTCACCGCCAAAGCGGTGTGGGCGGATTTGTCCATGAACACCGAAGTATAAAACCACCAATACATCATGAACATAGCATAGCATAGCAATTTTTGCATTCGGGATGGGTCAATACCAGCCAGCTGGGTGTTCCAGTCGGGGGAGAACCCATTGAACGCCACTTTAACGTTATTGGGATGGACCATGAAAAAAGCCGTAGCAACTGACAGGCGTTACCGATAACTAATTCCCGAAATCAGTCTGGAAAGCAGCCATACATTGCCATACCCATAGGATCCATGGTGCTGGTAGATATGCTAACATGACTGGGGTATATTGATGGTAAAATATGGGATCCATGGAGCACCATTAATATACCAGCACCATGAATCCGTTATGTCCATCAGTGATGGCCCCACCTGGGAACCTACTGGCCCCTCGCTGCGATGCTGGTGATCCACTGTGTCTCCATGTGGAGAACATCCAATTTTTTTTGTGTAGTTTTTGTGGATGAATTGTCCACCAAAAATTGGACAACAACATTTCCAAACACATGTGGATGTAATTATGAGTGAAACATAGGTGAACATCCTCAATTTGTGAATATTTTATCCATATATTTAGAACCTTGCGCAAATAATCTTCGTTGGCCATGGCAATGGCAAAACAATACACATCATCTCCAACGTGTTCAACACCCTCTGTCATTCCATGAATTGCTGGTCTAATTCCCAAGTCATGGTTTCTGATATTCTATATACCACAAATCATCAACTAACCATAATTTATCAATTCTATCTCCATATGTTTGATGGTTAACCATGGTTAACCCCCTTTTAAATAACGTGTACCCTCCAGTAATCCGTGCACCTTGCTGCCATGGTCGAGGTCGAGTCTGGCATGCTAGTCTGGGCGAGAGGGTCCTGAGCGGACAACGGACCCTTTTTTTCCATAAGCAACAACATGCCGTTTGTTTCGGTGTTCGTTAATGTATAAGTTAAGCAAGTAGATACTTGCATGTGTATAGATTTATAACTATCATGTACTGGTTGGTGGTTTTAACCATCTTGAAAAATATTAGTCAATGGGAAGGATTATCATAATATATATATATACTATGGAAAATAACAAATGTTTGAAACCACCAACCAGTATATGTTTATAATTATTCAGATTGGATCTAATATACATTAATATACTATAGATTACAGATCCAAATATAAATTATGATACTGAGTTATACACCTGAAAGCAGAGAAAATATGAGGTCAGTCAGAATCGATCTGTTGTTTCTCCTTTTTCCACTTGCAGTTCTCTTTGCCATTTAAGATTGGAAGGTGACAACGATTCCAGTTTGTGCTCAAGTCAGACCGTTTGGTGAATGGTACCATCTGGTTATGACTAACAGTTCGCCATGGAAAGATCCACCATTTGTAATAGGTAAACTTGGTAAACCATCTATTTCGATTAGGGTCATCTATACAGAGGGTAAATCAATTAATATCCCTTCCAGATATATCCGAGGGATCCGCCCATCTTTGCAAAGCACGTCAAGCGATTTTTTGACTCAGCGTGGAGAAGCAGGTTTCGTTAACGCGCTGCCAGGATGGAACAGGACGTTGCAGATGTCATCTGATGTAAGTTGCAGATAAATCCGGGAGTCTCAGAATCCTCACTGAAAATATCCATAAATTACCCCATCTGGTTATGACTAACATAGCCATGGAAAGATCCACCATGCTATTGATAGGTAAACCATCTATTTCTTTGGGTCATTTTCCACGGCTATGTTAAATAACCAGAGGGTACATGATGAATCTTCACTGAAACTCATGAGGAATTCTGCAACGTCTTCCTCGTCATGTGGGCTATCAGAGGCCAGATATGCTGCCAGATATGGCCGAAATCATAAACAGCAGGCGGGCAGCATGATCGAACTTCCTTGTGTGAAGAGCAGCTGTTGCATCTTCAGTTTGACATAGTTTTTAGGTCCTCTCCTAATGTGAACACTGCCATCCCAGAAAGCCGTAGACCAAAGCACTCTACGAAAAATCAGATTCACAGATCATCTGTCTTGGTTGTGGTTGTAGTTGATGTTGATGTTGCTAGTTTTTTCCTTTTGATATTGTTCTTATTGCTCTTCTTGTTCTTCTTGTTCTTCTTGTTCTTCTTGTTCTTCTTGTCGTTCTTGTCGTTGTTGTGAATGTTGTGAATGTTGTGGCTGTTGTGGTTGTGGTTGTGGTTGTGGTTGTGGTTGTTGTAGTTGTAGTTGTAGTTGTGGTTGTTGTGCTTGTGATTGTGCTTGTGCTGCTTGCTGTTGCTGTTGCTGTTGCTGTTGCTGTTGCTTTTGCTTTTGCTGTTGCTGTTGCTGTTGCTGTTGCTGCTGCGGCTGCGGCTGCGGCTGCTGCTGCTGCTGCTGCTGCTGCTGCTGGTGCTGTTGCTGTTGCTGTTGCTGTTGCTGTTGCTGTTGTTGTTGTTGTTGTTGTTCTTTACATGATTGCACCCATGTCAAACAAATACGAGTATAGTCCATGATCCAAAGTCTGTAGCGAACTCGCTATCTTGCTGAGCCCCTGCTGCTTGTGAACATGACATATCTTGGAAGCTCAGACTCATCAGACTTCAGTGTCACCAATTGTTTCATATTGTTTCAAATGCTTCTACTTGGCTAATCATTTTGTTTGGATGGATTTTTTTTGTGTTTTTTTTGACTTTGCTGGTTGAATGTCCATCAGAATCTAATACCCCCCTGCAGATCTAACCTAGCTATGGAAGCCATGGCCCAGCAATAGTTCGATGATAGACTCCTATCAAACATCACGATGTTCCAGGGCAAACGCTTCATTTTCACAATATGGATGTGGGTCAAAATAGAAGACCTAGGGGACCACAGATGTTAGTCTAGTGTAGTATTAACCATCCAATTATTGGGGTACCTAATTTTGACCCATACCCATATTTCCAGAGGGTACCTCTAGATCAATGATGTTGATGTCGTGTCGACATGCTGTCGCGTGTTGTGAGGGTGCAGGAAGCATGTCCCTATCCCAAGAGAAAACAAACCAAGCAGAAGTACCATTTAGTATTATGGTTTACTTACATAATATGGGTGGGATACATTGATATCAATCTGTTTTTTAAATGGTCTCGGCCTGTTTTTGAGAAGTGTAGGTAAATGATGGTAAATAATCCCATCCCCCTTAATATCAGACACGCCCATTGTATGGTCCCAAACATGTGGTTTCATCCCGTATCAAACCAGGGTTTCTGGGGGGTGCTTGATATTCATGGGGGATGAGATGATAGAGCAGTGTGGTAAAGTCCGTCATTTCATTCATCGTTTTCTCATGTTGTTTCTTAGATGTTCATTGCAACAACAATGACTGCAACATTGAGGCTTTTGACTGGGTTTGCCACATGACGAAACATGGAGCACAGCGGCGATTTGCCTTTATCACCCGTTGGGAGCCAAATGGGATCGGTGGATAGTCCAGAATATCTATGTGATGTCTTCAATCAAGCACAAGATCATCAGCAAATACATGCAAATACGAGCATCACACCCCCCTACCAGCTATAAGTCAGTCAGAACCCCATTTATGGAATGATAACCCCATTTATAACCATCAAAATCACTGGTATTTCGGGCATTAAGCAAGAAATCTTCACCAAATTCGTGACACTGAGTTGCATCCACCGATGGAAAAGGCAGCCAGCAGACTCGCCGCGATCTCTTAGAGATGTGACGCGGATTTCTGCGCGCGTTTGGATTCAGCAGCATTGGAGAGCGCGGATGACCAAAAAAAAACCGTGCTACGACGAGGCAGCGAAGATTGGAATGGGACATCTCCGATGAATGGACGTTTGAGGAATCTCAGGGAAGAAAAGACCGTTTCAATCACTTTTGAGCCATGGGAAGATCAAGAGTGGCGTTTCATGGACAGTTGTTCCAGCCACTCCAAAGATTTGAGTTACGGTTTGGTCCGAAATGAGGAACAGACTTGGACACCAGCTATCAACAATGTTCTGCCTACTATACATGCTGTTTACCTTCATTCTTCAGAAAATTGCAAGTCGGCAATAGCGCTGCATGACTTTTGATGTGCACTGAATGTAACCCTCAAAGCCCCGAACCAGGACTATCCGTGAATCAGTGAAGATCCATATATAATTTCTCTCCGTGCTTCAACATCATCTTCAACATATCGTGGTTTGGAAAATGAATTTTATTCCATATATTGGGAATGTCATCATCCCAGCTGACGAATATATTTTTCAGAGGGGTAGGTATACCACCAACCAGATATCCTTGCGGCAGATCCAAGCGCAACTACCCTCTGGTAAACGTTCACATAACTATTGAAAATCACCATTCTTAATGGTAAAACTCACTACAAATGGCCATTTTCAATAGCTATGCTAAATAACCAGAGGGTAATACATATTGCTAAGGCATTTATCATCAGAGCTGCAGAGAATCACGAATCAGTTCGCCAGGGCCTCATAGTCCTGCAAGCGGAATCTCACACTTCTAAATGTAGAAAACCCAATCAATAATTTCGCAAGGAAACATTTTAGATAGTACAATGCGGATATTTCATTGGTATATATCATATTGGAATATTGATGGTATATCAATGGAATATTAGAAAATTATCTTCTGGTATAGCTATGGCGGCCATGGCCTTACGTTGGATGAATCCCAGTTGAAAATGATAAACATTTTCCAGCAGGGGGTGACGATAAACTATGGAAAACTGATCTGGTTGGTGGTTTCAACCCCTCTGAAAAATATTAGTCAGTTGTGAATATTCTTCCCAATATATGGAAAACATGTTCCAAACCATCAACCAGTGATGTTCCCAAGTTGTTGTGAAATATCACCTGCTAAGTGAATCATCACGTTTGAACCCAAACCGCTGTAGACCTGAGAGATTTCTTGTTGCCCCATGGACCTGAAGTTTCACCGCAAGGTGGTATCGATCATTTTTCCATATATATATATAATATCTAGGAATATGTCGGAAATAAATGGAAATAATGTGTATATATATATATATCATGTATTTATTCATGTATATATATATATGTATGTATGTATGTATGTATATATATCTATTATGTAATTGGCTCATGCTATGGTTGTACATGAGAACCATATCTGCAGCGGCCATCATTCGTGGTGAGATTGCGTAAAGTCACTACACATTATCTAGACTGAATGCTTGGATACAGACTTACGACATGTTCAATTCCACATGTTCATGTCAATGTGAGACACAATTCCTGAGATGCAACATACGTATGTTTGTAATGGTTGGTCTAACATGTTGGTAATCCCAGATTTGATGGGATATGAATGGCTAACATCATTTTTTCTCATTACATGGGCAGTTGTGGGCAATTTGCGGGGTATGGTGAGTTGACAGCTGGGATATGGATGATTCAGGTGAAAATCCGCCCCAGTGTGCTAATGAAGCAGGTATCGAAAAGCAATAAGGGGATGCTCATGATCTACTTTGACGAATTTTTCTTTTGACCTCTACAAGTATGTATACATTAAAACACTCAAAAGCAAGTAATTTCTGGTCTCAAACACCGGACGCCCCTTTTCTTCAACAACTTGGGATAAAATGCCTCGGTAGATATGTGAAGTCACCCATGTTGGCAGACTCCCACATTTGCCTTCTGGCAAATCTTCGAACTGTGTTTCAGTCATGACGACTGATCCTCAAAAAATGCACCAAAATGTGCATACCCAGCCATCGCTTCATTTTGCGATGCCGGAGGCTCAAGGCATTTCTGGGTTCTTTTGGCGTTGATACATTTCCGCCATCTTTTGAGGGGTCCAGCCTTTGTTCCTATTTTCGTGTTGGAACAAATTCCAGGGGTTTTTGATTTCAGCCCCATCTGCTGGATCTTTGCCAGAAGAAACAACCCGGGCCTCAGACGAAGCGCTCACCACAGCAGCAAGACTCAAAGCTCGCTCCGCTGCTGCAGCCGCCGAAGAAGCACTGGATGCCGCATCAGCTGCTAAGGCTCTCGCTTCGCTGACCATCGCCGCTGCCGAATCGCGCTTTGCCTCACCGCCCGCAGCTGCTAAGCCCGATCGCCTCCTTATATTCTGAGACGTAGAACTCGTTCTGGATGCAAGACTACAGCCCTGCTCAGGGGCACTTGTGCGGGATGAAGAACCACGGCCCTGCTCCGGGGCACTTGTGCAAGATGAAGAACCACGGCCCTGCACAGGGGCACTTGTGCAAGATGAAGAACCACGGCCCTGCACAGGGGCACTTGTGCAAGATGAAGAACCACGGCCCTGCACAGGGGCACTTGTGCAAGATGAAGAACCACGGCCCTGCACAGGGGCATGCAGCTCATCTTCCGACACCACCAAAACTTCATCCTCCGAGGACGTTCCGTGTCGGCCAGAGTTATCAACATGCAACCTCTTCAGACAGCAACGTGATACTATTTGTCCCACCACGGCTCCCAACGCCATCAGAGTTGCACCGGCCACCCACACAGGTCTGAAGTCCTCCTCCGGTTGTGCGCCTTGAGACGCTTCAGCCACTGAGAGCAAAGTGCTCCCCAAAACGATTGCCTTCACGGCAGCAAAGTCACCAGGAGCTCCACTTGAACTCGGCCCCACGCCCGATGTTGATGAATTTTGCGACTCTTCAGTGACTCTTCAGGTCGATCTTCACCAGCCACAGCGCTTGATGATGACATCGCCACCTCCCTTCTCAGTCCCAAATCCATGACAAACCTGGCAAAGGCCTGTCCCAAAAGCTGCTTCGTCAAGCCGTCGGCCACGAGCTCTGAACCCTTGAGATGTAGTAATCTCCAAATTCCTCCAGGAACTTCACATTCCTCCTCCATAGCTTCTTTCAAAATTGATGCCCGTATTCTCAAATGTCGGGTCCTCCATGAAGCACATGTATTGCCGCTTGCAAGACCAATCGCGGCCAAGTTGTCCCCATAGATTGTCCGGGTGAATGGATTCCGGTTCAAAGGATGCCCCCACATCGCACAAAGTAGGGATTCCGTGGCCCGCCCAATGAGCAAACTCTCACAGTACGAAACCAACTCTGATTCCGCTGTGCTGTGCGTAGCAAAAGGCTGTTGCGAACTCTGCCATGCCACAGGGCTCCCTGCAAAAAACACTGCAATCCCTTGCACGCTGCGACGATTGGCACCAGCCGCATATGCGATGTCCGAGAACACCTCAATGCTATAGCAGTCCCGCTGATGTTTCAACTGGCGACGCTCACCCCAGCCATGATTGGGAAAGTGCTTGGCATAGTGCAAGTCGCCAGGATTGGCTTTGATGTAGTTGAGCAAGACTCGGCCCACTTCCAGAGCCTTCAAAGGATTTCGAGCCATCAAACGACTCATCGCCGAAACCCCATAAGCCAGATCTGGCCTGGTCTTGGTGGCCAGCCACAACAAACCTCCCGCCAGGGCCTGGGCCTCTTTCAGGATCTTGGGGTCGATGGCTTCCACCGCCTCGAAATCAGACTCGCTGAGCTTGAAGTGAGGAAAAGCCACACCATGTTGAACTTGCCAGCGGTCCAACATCTCTTTTTCGTACCCCACCTGTGACAAGTGCAGGCCGTTGCCCTCCTTGTTGACCAGGATCTCGATCCCGCAAAACTTCAAGGGTTTGGTTGTTGTTGCCCATTCCGCCTCAGCGCAAGACCATTGAGATTCCACCGCTTGCAAGGCGCTTCGTAGAACTTGATCCTCACCGCAGAAGAGCAGGTCATCCACGTAGACACATAGAAGCCCGCTCCACCTCCACAAGCCGCCAAAGATTTTCATCATCGCTTCTCTCAAAACGGCCATTGATTTCACTGCCATCATCCAAGAAGCGCTTCCAGGTCAGCTTGGCCAAGGTGCCGTCGCGGTGAACTCCCCAATCACGGGGTGAAGTAGTCAGCCCATATAGGGCCATTTCAACAAGCCATACATCATCATCAGATGCCAGCCCCAAACGTTTGAAGACCGTTGGAATGCTCATTGCCACCAACTTCGTTTCATCCCTCCTCCTGGCGTTAAGAAACGCTGTGCGCACGTCTGTGCCCATGACCTTCCAGTCAAAGAGTGCTGCAGTTTTCAAAGCCGTTCTCACCTGCATGCTGTCAGTTCCTCCTGCGTAGACTTCCTGGTCCGTTGAGGATGCATAGTTCCCGCAGATGACAGCCCTGCTGCGAAATGCGCCAGACTGCGCCTTTCTGGTGTGAACAGTCTTGCCAGGAAGGAGTTCAAGTGGTACTCCACGTTGTTGGGATAGCTTCTGAAGTTCTGACATCGTGATCTGTTTGACTGCTTGCTTTTCTTGCACTAGTTGTTGCCATTCTTGTTTGATGGAAGGGGCCCAAGCATCCAAGTTTTGCCACACCTCGGAGTTGCTGATAGTACGGGTGACAAGAAACTCTGTGGCCTCCTTGTTCTCATCCACCGCCATTGAGAGCAGTTGCTCCTCCAAGTTCACGCAGTTCAGGATTGCTTCAGTGACCGCAGGCATCCACAGAGCTTGATCAGCCGAGGACGCATCGATCCGCTCCATCTCCTCTTTGACATACTCAGTGACATTGTGGTGCAACCGGCGAAGTGCTGGTGCACGATTGCTTGAGGTCCCAGGGCTTGAGCCACCGTCCCTGGTGTTAGGCACCTCCCCCGCTTCCCCACCTCCGGTCCACCAATCCTCCTCCTGGAAGTCGATCTCCCTTCTAGGAGAGTTGCCACTGGATGTCGAGGATGCTGTTTCGATAGTCCAACTGTCACTTGATGCTCCATGATGTGATGCAGCCTCAGGCTCAAACATGTTGGGACAAGTCGCCACAATCCGGCGCTCCCCCTCAATGTCAAACATTGATATGGCAGGCTGTGCAGCTTTGCGCCTATGACGGCGTGCTGGAGTATCACCAGCCCGTTCAGGCAAGTACAAAACTTGGTCTTCGACCGCTGGTTGCTGAGGCTCCGGAATGACAATGTCATCCGTGTAGAAGTAGCGCCCAGTTGCGATGGATTTGACATAGTAGCCAGTTGTTGTCAAAGAAGAATGAACATCTGGCCCCAACACCACAACTTCTTCTCGAACATCACGCCATGGGGCATATCGAGATTGCCAGGACTTCCTCAAAGCGTAGGCTTTGGCGCCGAACTTGATCAAGCGGCCAACAGGCCATCCAAGGATGCTCAACTGGCTTCGAAGTCGCCGTTCCCCAAGATGTCGAGCTGCAAGTGGCCATTGGGCTAATGGGCAGACTCCCCCAGAGATCAAGATCCTGATGGACTTCTTTATGACCCCCATTTCAGCTTCGACTCGGCCATTTGCTTTGAAAGAAGACCCAGATGTCATCGTGGTGAGGATTTGTCTATCCAAAGCCCAGGCTTGGGTTTCAGCAGAAGAAAACTCTCGGGCCCTGTCGGAGTGGATGCGGTACACCGGCAAGCCAAGTGCACGGATCCGTGCATGCATCCTGGAGAGAGCAGGCAAAAGG